TTAACGTTCATGTCCAGAGCCTAGGGGGCACCCCAAACGGGGATAAACAAGTGTTTTCAATCTATTTGTGGAAATCTTACATTCGCCCACGCAGTCGCAGCGGACGAATCCATCAATCCAAGCTGAGCAGAGGGCCACTTCAGACCCCGGCGATACTAAGCACAAGACTGGCTGGCAGGGTTTGCCCTAGCACTGGAGTGCAGAAAGTAAAGTGAACCACGCATCTCATCAAAATCAACATGTCCCCATGAAATCACCAATGTCATCCTGCGAATCGGGAGAAACCAGATGACCACGGGAGGGGGCATTAGGGAATTTTAGGGGCCATCGTGCTTTGCATGAAAAAAATGAGACAATAACAGTGCAAATCAAACATTGTTGCGGCCCTGCAGCGGGCCACACCACATACACGACCCTCACTGCGGTCCCGCCACGTTCAACATACGTTCCAAGGCTGGTGGGAGAAAACCGGGCACCGAAGGAAATTAAATGCTTGCACCTACATTTTGCAGGTCCGTCTGCACATAGCTTGTTCAGGGAAAATGTTTGCACTCATAGAATACCTGTTTGCAAGGAGTAAAACCGCAGCCGTCAGCTGCAAAGTTGGTGGCAATTGCGGAGGCACAACAAGTTTGATCCAAACAAGGTGTGGCTCACACGTCATAATCGTTCGTCTGTATGACATACAAGGTGTATCACGGAACAATAAGGTGACATGTTCAAAAATATGTCAGTTGCCGTATTGATGTGCCCCGTTGGCATTCGGAATTCTGACCAAGGAAGTTGCGGAGGGAAAGCGGCGCAGGTGCCGTAGTACCGCATGTTGCAGTACAAAATAACACGGGGGGAACATTGAGACATGTTCCAACATCCTAATAGAAAGTAAGGTATGGCTGTATGAACCGAGAAATCATCGAAATTTTGACGGCCCCGGATGCCAAGCAATGCCGATTTCAAATGATCAAACCATGGGAAACTGATTGGTCCGAACAACTGCAATAAAGGACGTGTTCTGATTTTTGCCCCTTTGATGGGTGCAGGTTTCGTGCTTGTGTCGTCGAAATGCCGGGGCGTTGGCGCCATGAAACTATACACTTTTTCCAAAACCAGATTTTTTTTTTCAAACCCCGGGAATCATTGCAGTAGCATCATGGTTCGGCAGGACGCAGACCAGGTGGAACATTTTGGACCTTGCCTTAAAATGTTGTTTATGAATCCCCCTTACCATTTCCACTACTAAAAGGGTGAACACGCGCTTGATACCATCCCCTGTTTCGTGGAGAATTCAGCCCAAAAAAATGGACACGTGCACCAGTTTTTGTAGTAAAAGGGCGTGCACTGTATCTTGTAGCGGTGTTCCTTTTGGCGCTCACAAATCGGAAATGCATTTTGTAGTGATTTATTTTGGGATGCGTTGTGTCGCACCGGAAACCCAAAAGCCCTCTTTTGCCGGTCATGCCCTGTTACATGAACATATAGCTTGGACCTTCAGACCATTTTTAGCTCTGACTCTTGACTCACAATTATTTCGTGGTAAGATGAACCCCCAAAAAATCGGAAAAAAAAAATAATGTACAGACTTTAAGACGGAAAAATGGGACTTTCAAAACCCATCAATTGAATTTGAAGTTGTGCGCTCAGATCAATTTTGCTCCCCCATAGCTCTGACGATTGCAGTTCAAAATCTCTGTGCGGTGCTCTTGTCACATCTATTGTGGCGATTATTTTCGATTACCAATCATATTTAATCTAAATCCATCCCATTCTGCTAGACTCCTGTTTTTTTTGTCCAGTAGTCAAGTTTCACCTAAGTTCAAAGAATCCATGCTCAGAGTTCCTTTCACCCACAATGTCACAAAACACAGATTCGATGCGTGATGTCCTAGTTTCTGGATGACTTGTGTCACGCACTGCATTTTGTAGTAACACGCATGCACAACCTTTTGTAGAACTTACTGCGCCCCCCTCCAGATAAGCCCCAAAAAGTTCGAAAAACATGCTTTTTATGTAGAGACTCTAAGAAGGAAAAATGGGACAGATTTGGTTCAAAACCAATCGATTGAATTTGAAATTGTGCGCTTAGATCGTTTTTGTTGCCCCATAGCTCTGACGATTGCAGCTCAAAATCTCTGTGCGGTACTCTTGTCATATTTTTTTTGGCCATCACATGCGAATGTAAACGTATCCCATTCTACTAGGTTCCTGCCCTTTTTGTCCAATAGACAAGTTTCACCCAAGTTCAACGAATCCATGCTCAGAGTTCCTTTCACCCACAGTGTCACAAAGCACAGATTCGATGCGTGATGTCCTAGTTTCTGGATGACTTGTGTCGTGGACTGCATTTTGTAGTGACACACGCGTGCACAACCATTTGTAGAACCTAGCGCGCCCCCCTCCAGATAAGCCCCAAAAAGTTCGAAAAACATGTTTTTTTTATGTAGAGTCTTTAAGAAGGAAAATGGGACAGATTTGGTTTCAAAACCAATCAATTGAAAATGAAGTTGTGCGCTCAGATCGTTTTTGCTGCCCCATAGCTATGACGATTGCAGTTCAAAACCTCTGCGCCGTGCTTTTGTCACACTTTTTTTGGCCATCACATGCGATTCTTAATTAAAATCTACATCTATCCCATTCTACTAGGTTCCTGCCCTTTTTGTCCAATAGTCAAGTTTCACCCAAGTTCAACGAATCCATGCTCAGAGTTCCTTTCACCCACAATGTCACAAAACATAGATTCGATGCGTGATGTCCTAGTTTCTGGATGACTCTTGTCATGCACTGCATTTTGTGGTGACACACGCGTGCACAACCTTTTGTAGAACCTACTGCGACCCCCTCCAGATAAACCCCTAAAAGATCGAAAAAGACCTACTGCGCCCCCCTCCAGATAAGCCCCAAAAAGTTCGAAAAACATGCTTTTTATGTAGAGACTTTAAGGAGGAACCATGGGACAGATTTGGTTCAAAACCGATCAATTGAATTTGAAGTTGTGCGCTTAGATCGTTTTTGCTGCCCCATAGCTCTGACGATTGCAGTTCAAAACTTCTGCGCCGTGCTTTTGTCAAACCTTTTCTGAAAGGTCACTTCTTGGAATCCGATGGAAATCCCAAGGTTGTATTTACTTATGCTCGGCAAATACTATGACCTGGGCCCCAGAAAGAGAACCAAAGATTTCGAGTGAAATTTCCAGAAACCATTTAGTAGAGAATCATGATTTTTCACTGCAACCCGTTTTCACTACAAAATGGGTACGCAAAGTCATTTTGTAGTGACCGACATTGGTTTTTGATCCACCATAAAAACCCCCAACCCATTTTGTAGCAAGGGGGGTTGGTTCAGATTCAAGCGTCATTTTGTAGTATAAGGCTGTGTTTGTAAAGGGTTTCGTGGGCACAACTTCTCTGCAGAATGCACACAGGGATGTTTATGATGGAAAGGGGTGCATGCACGCACATCCATACAGTTTCAAAAAATCACGCATGTTTATCAGCATGGCGGCATTGCGCGGCATGATTGGTGGACATTTTGGACGTAGCAACGGCTTACCGGTTTTGACCTTGATTGTTGCGTGGTTTGTAAATTATTGTCGACATTTGTTTGGCTGTTGAAATGGCATTTGCGTTGGTGGAGAATTTCCTGTTTCAATTTGAAGCGGCGGGGTGGCGATCATACGGTGAGTAGAGCGTGGTTTGGAGCTGAAGTCGGCAAGCGTCGGGGACAACAAAAATATAGTTTTTTTTTTGGTGACTTCCCCTCTTATTTCCCGTCTGGAAAAAAAGAAAACCAAGGATCCACATTTGCGGATGGCAGCGATAATTCTGTTTACCGCCTCCATACCGGCTCCGATTGATCCAAGGGTAACCGGCAAATCCCTTAACCAATGACGCTTTTGCTCCAGATTTTGAAGCCAACACAGCACTTGCATTACCGTTTGCTGCAAACTTTCGGCCGCAGACATCCATGACCAGTCTCTGTACATTTTGTTCGTCCTTTGTTTGATTTCAACTCCCCTTGGGGCCACCATGTTTCCATTATTAAAGTATTTGCAACCTGTGTTGCAGAAAAACTGGCCCGCATAAAAATAGTGCAAAATGCTGGGTGCTGAATTTTTGGACGTGTGTTTTCGCAATTCCGAGAGCGAGGGTATCGCGAAAGTATTTGGCAATGGTGGAAATCCATTGTCCCTTTCATCTCTAATTTTTATCAATTTTTGTTGCGCGCCTCCGGCGTCCCAACGAGCCAGAGTAAGGTGAGGGAAGGTGTACGTAAATGTGTTACCGTTGAAACATGCACGGTATATCCAATGATTTCTCGGACTGTGAACGAAGGAGTTGCATCCCTTTGGTTGGTCCTTTCACAAATAGAGCAAATAATGAATGAAGGTGTTTGGTTGTTTGATTTCCCTGGGGCCTCTCTCTCGCGTAAACGAAAATAGTTGAATTTTTGGCTACCTTTTCTGTTGCCCGTTTTCTTCCGGGCCAATGTCACCACAGGGCTCCGTGAAGATGAACGCGGGACACTGCACCCCATGGTTTGTTATTTTTCTTGTGTTCGACAAATTTTCCTGCTACAATTTTCAAGAACCAGAGCGACAGAATGACGTTTAATTTATTATATTAGAGGCAATGTAATATCAAATCAACCGTCGGCCATGCAGCCCAGAAGGCACCTGATTCCGGTTTTCGTTGAGGGAACTGGTTGTTTCGGCAAGGGAAAATACTGATTGGTGTATGCCGGAAAGTGAGCAAGTGCATGGCCAGGGGTTTGGCATGTAAAATTTTTACCTTTCTGTTGGGTGCAATTTTCAAAGAACAGGTGATGGCGCACTTGTGGTGAAATATATATTCAAAAATGTTGCAACGATTTGTTGTCAGAAGGAAACCCACTCCCGGACAATGCTTGTCAGCATCCAAACGCTACCTTGAGTGACATTCTTGGATCATTTTTTGTGCCGTTGTTTTTGTGTTCGCAGCGCCTCAGTTGCCGTAGTTGCACGAATTTTGTTGGAAATTCGGAGGCGCGCTTGTTAAGAGCCCTGGATTTGTTGAATGGATTTTTGATTTTCCCGTTGGTCAACTCCACGATTTAGGTAATTATTGGCGTTTTTTTTGAGATCCTTCAAGGAACCCAAAAACGAACGCAGAACTGAGGACCATGGGGGGAGCCAGCTCGTTCGTGGCAATGTTGGCCATTACCGGTTTTCTCAGTGCAACGTGGACGGCCTCCAGGTTGTCGAGGGCCGTTGGAGTGTCGGACATTGTGCTGGTCATTGCGACAGGTGGGGATGCGAAAATGGCACACTAGGTGGCACGTTTGCTGTTTATCCGGACGGTGTGTTGTGGGAAGTAAGGCGTTCATAAGAATATACATGATGGTTATGAAAATTGTTGTGCATTTATGTTGTTTTCATCATCATCATCATCATCAGCAGCAGCAGCAGCAGGAGGAGCAGGAGGAGCAGGAGGAGCAGGAGGAGCAGGAGGAGCAGGAGGAGCAGGAGGAGCAGGAGGAGCAGGAGCAGCAGGAGCAGCAGGAGGAGCGGGAGGAGCGGGAGGAGCGGGAGGAGCAGGAGCCGGAGTCGGAGTGGGAGTCGGAGTCGGAGTCGGAGTCGGAGTCGGAGTCGTAGTTGTAGTCGTAGTCGTAGTCGTAGTCGTAGTCGTATAGTCGTAGTCGTAGTCGTAGTCGTAGTCGTTGTCGTTGTTCTATACTTTTTGTAATGTAACCACTGGCAATGACAGGGTAAACCTTTAAGAGTAGAACAATATATTACAATTTGTCATTGTGCCACCCAGCCTTGATCAGCAAGGGTCTGCTGATATTCAGGTTCGGTCAATTGCCGTTTGGATTTGCCCAACACAAGGGGGATACCCCAAAAACAACGATTTTCGTCTCATCAGGCAAGGGCGAGGCCTTAGTTTCAGACAATCCGGCCATGATTTGTTGGTAATATCTCCCACAACCATTCCCATTTTTTTTCCGATATATTTTTCCTTATTGGTTATATATCTATATCTCTATCTATATCTATATCTAAATATATATCTATATCCATATGCATATCCATATCTATAGCTATACCTATACCTTATATCTATATATTATATCACCAATAATATATTCATAAAATGGGTGGTTAAGTTAACTCCTTAAGTTTTTTTTTCTATCGATGTCCGTTCTTCCTGGCGCCGCAGGAGTGCTGTTGGGCCCAGACATCGGCGGCCTCATAAGCACCGAGTATTCTCAGTGCTCGCATGCCCGGCATGCGGTGGAATGCGAAGTCAAGGAGAGTTTTCAACCAGAAAACAGCACAGGTTGGTAATGCCATCTGCACCATCCCCCAGTCATGACCATTTTGACAGGTGGTATGGTTACCATTCCCAGTCATGGGCCATGGGTCGTTTCTTTTTGTTTTAACCACATCACAGGTTTCCACAGTTCCAAAGTTTGGGGGCATAGTTCGTCACTTCGAATGGTGGATACCGTGTGAATTAGAAGTTTCACCCCTTAAAGAAACGAACAAAAAATGAAATAATAAACAACAATGTTCGTCACTGGGTATGTTCAAGCTGTTGTGGTATGGAGGACGACCGCATTTTTGATACTTTAGGTGAACATCACTAAACGTTAAAACTAGTATATAATTGAATTGCGATCTTGGTCGGCCCATTGTTTTGGTTGCTGATGGATTTGATGCACAAAACTTTGAACGTACCCAACCTTGCAAAAGTGACCTTGTACTTACTAATTACCAATGTTCACTACCCACTGTCACCAACACAGTGGGATACCTGAAAGCGTTTGACCAGTGAGGTTGGTGTGGTGGCTATGCCGCCCCGTCCCAGGACCTGTCAGCGCTCAGCAAGCACTTGGCAGAGATCGAGCACTTGGGCCTTTGCAATCCAGCAGACTACGAACACGAGCACGACGAACACGCCACGACAACGAACGCGACGCATGGAACAGGCAACGGAACGAGCGATGGGAGAAGCTGCACCTGCGAGGAATCTGGTGGTTCGCATCATCGTAGGCTTGCAGGTGGTGGCACCTTCCATAGCTACCAGGTCAAGGGCTTGGGGGTTCCTTTTTTTTCAGGAACCATATCAGACATTGGGCCATGGGGTTTTAAGGACTTCAACGTCTAACTTGCAAATTGCTAGGAGTCAGCAGTAGCTCCAATCTTGGATTTTTTTCCGCCTTTGACTTTAGAGCTGTGTGACAGCTGTAGAGACAACCAGCTACGCTTGAAATCCCCACCAGTGATTGCGATCATTAATTAAAAAACGCAAACAAAGCAAACAAAAAACGACAAATTCAGGGGGTAGCTCCAATCTTGGATGCTTAATGTGTAACAAATCAAACTCTGTGGGTTGGTTATGATTTTCACAGCAGACTCAGCAAGTTCTTTTAACCGCAAGCTCTGGTGCCTGCTTCCGCAAGGAATGCCTGGAGAAGACATGTCACGCAGAGATTTCCCATGAGTGCCAGCTGACACCCGACGTTTTTACGCTCATCGGGCATGCAGGTGGGGCCTCCACCTGCTAGATGGTTTTTTTTCGGTGACAGAAAAGGGAACACCATGTGTGACATCCTGTTGGTGCACACGCCCACACACACAGACGTAATTATACATGATATATGATATATATATATATAATTATACTATACATATATAGATACACATGAATATACTCATTATTGTGTGTTTCAAAATGGGGATCTCTCAAGGTAAAATGGATTGCCCTAAAACTGGATGCTTTCATGCGACCCGTGTGTGACTGCAGCCAGGCGTGGCGCTGATGATTTTTGAGAGTGGGATGCATTTCGACTTTGAGAAAGCGAAGAAGGTGGGGCTTTGGAAACCGCTTGGTGTCCTTTGTTCAGCTGGAGTGTTCGCATGTTCAGACCTTTAAGTAGCTTAATATTCCTGATGGATTGCAGACTTGCAACCTTCAGGAATCTTACACATCCATCTTTTGAAATGATCGTTAAAGAGTAGGTTTTTCCCAGGAACCTGTAAAAAAACATTTTTTAACTTCCATCTTGGTGATGTTTCTATATGTTTCTGCGACGTTCTATCTGCTCCAGGTGGGTTTTAGGGCCTGCTGTGTGGCCGTTTTGGGCACCATTCTACCTCTGGTGGCGGGCACGTTGCTGACCATGGCCTACCAGAAGCCCTTCTTCCCCATGGGCGTGGCCGCGGGCACGGCCCTGGCCCCCACCAGTGTGGGCATTGCCTTGCGACTGCTGGGGGAAGCCGGGGTGTTGAAGGAAGATTTCGGGCAGGTGGGGGCTGGTTGTTCCGGGGTGGAAAAAATCGGTGACCATTGAACCATGTTGCCACTTGGTGGGGTTCTCCAACAGCCCAATCCCATGTATCTGGAGGCTCATTCAGGTTTAAAGCAATAGTCTCACACGCTGCATCCATAAGGCCATGGTGTGGGTGAATTAACAGACCACATTTTTTAGCTACACCCAAAAACATCAATGTCAACCCCTCAATAAACTCCGTTGATTAAGCCATTTTATGCATTTTATGGTGATCAATTCCTGTTCAAATTTCTGCCGGCATGATGGCAATCCCCATGATTCCCATGATTCCCAGCTGATTCCCAGCTGATTCCCAGCTGATTCCGTCAGAAAAGCACCAAAGAGGCCATCATTACAGCTGCATTCGTGGACGACATTTTGTCTCTGGTGCCGGTTTTTGGAAGGGCTCACCGCACTGGGTCACATGGGGCCACCTGGGGATCTGGTGGTCAAAAATGGGTATCCAGGGTATCCATATTGTCAAACGAGCCATCTACGAGCAGAGTTATATAATAAGAGTGTTCCAAAGATGTGCTACTTGGAGAAGATTTTTCAAAGTTATGTTTGGGTTAGGGTCGCTCCTATGGGAGAAGCATCGAAAGGTGACAGAATAGAGTTGAGAAGTGATGAAACGCCAAAAGTTTCAAAGCTTTTCCAGCCTTCATCAGCTCAAATTAGTGAATTGTCACCCATTCACCCAGACAGGCGCCATTCGGACTTTGAGTTGCTGCGGCAGTTTTGGGTGCTCAAAATTATTCCAGGGATCAAAAAAGATCGAAGCGTAAATCACAAAATCGCGATCAAAATAGCAGGAGGAACTTTTTTCAACCTTCTTGGGGAACACTGGTTGTTGATATTCCTGATGCTATCCCGTTGTCCTCTACAGTGCTGAGACCTCATTGGGCCCACTACTCACGATCGCCCTGCCTCCAATGATGGTCAAAGTTCCACAATTCGCAATAGCAACACGCGGCGAATCCAGCTTTCTGCTCGGGTTTCCGCCCCAGATACCCTGTCCAAATAGTAACATGGAGGAATATCTCATAAAGGTTTCAGCTCTGAGCTGGGGTAGCGGCATAACAATAAAACACCCTCAACTCCCCAAACTTTGGCTTCTTGAGTCTACCTTATTTGGGTGGATATTAGCATGACCCCCAAATGGTTGGTTACTGGGAGGTTTATCATTGGGTTTACCAGGTTTACCATATTTACTTATCATATTGCTGCTTATACATTACATCCCATTATATTTACCGCATTATTATTATATACATAGTATATATATACACTTATATCCCATTATATTACCATTCTATCGCATATAACCTATCCAAACCATACATACATACATACATACATACATACATACATACATACATACATACATACATACATATAGACTTATACATGCACATAAATATAATTACACATATTGTATTGAGTTTTTTTTCCATTATATTCCTCTTATATAACCATTATCATTACATCATCGTTACATCACCGGTTGCTTCAGGTGCTCTTCAATGTGCTTTTTTCTCTGGGCGGAGAATTCGATGTGGTGCAAGTGGTGGTGAACCCCTGCGTCGGGGTGGTGATCATGTTGTTGGCCATGTATGCGGCGATGAAGTTTTGGCCCAGATTCATCAATGGCGTCTCGGAACGATAACGGACATGGCGATGTGGATTGAGTATGGGGTTTGTGCCACAACCACAATGGGGAAGATGGGGTGTAAGGAAAACAACAAGGCTTAAGGACCAAAACTTGTAATTATAGCATAATCAGGGCAATCCAACTGAAGGTAGTGTAGAAATGGTTTGTGCGTGGCTTGTAGCACCGTGCAACTGGGCTGCAAACTCCGCCAAATGATGGGTAGCAAATATTTGCACTGACCCTGCATCTACTTGCTTTTTGGGCTATGCTTGGGGCAGTTATCTCATTTTCCAAACCAAGAGTCTAGAGTCATCCGCGTGGATGGGGGCCAAAACTTGTGAAGCAATCCCTAGATGGGCCGCGCCTGTATTGGGCCGCGCCTGTACGAAGCCGCCACACATACAATAATCATTTTATTTTTTTGGTAAACCCAACGATAGGCCTATATAATTCGGATCGTTTACATATATCATCAATTTCTGGTGAATTTGGGCATTGTTCATTCTTGGGGCTTGCCAAAATTTGGACCCACCATCAAACATTTATTTTGACGGTTAGTCTGTTATTAAAACGCAATTTGTGCTCCTTAGCCCTTGATTGAACCACCAACTCCTATGGTCCACCCCTTTTTGACTTATGACTGGAAGGTTTTTTGGGTCGAGATGCTGCCTTGTTTCCTTGTTTGAGGCTATCTACTGCCCAAGATTCCGGAGATTGAGGGTGTCAAGGTGGCACGTAGAGATGAGGTGCCTAAAGTGCCGCTATCGGGGCGAAGGGAGCTGGTGACTGGTGGTTTCAAAGATGTTCATTTCTCCCTCCCTTGAGGTTCACCTCTTGACACCGGAATTCTGTCGAAATCATCAAAAGATGGCCGGTTTCAATGGTCATTTGACAAATTTCTTTCTTGTCTAAGCCATCTTCACAAAAACAAAAAACGCATCCAGCATCCATCATCCTCCATCATCCTCCAGCATCTTCCAGCATCTTCCAGCTCCAGGTCCTTTTCCTGTTAATGTTTCTGCTTTTGTTGGCATATGCCAGCATCACCCACTTCTTGGGCACCCATTTGTGGGGCTGCTTCATCGCCGGCATGTCCTTCGCGTGTTTGCAACCGGCGCACCATGCACACCACGTGTGGCAACGGCAGACCAAGCGGGTCACATCTTGGATGATCAGGAGATCCCATGGAAATCCATGTTTTTTTTTTTTTGCAGGACATGAGCGAAACATAAGCGGGATTTTCCATAGCTTTACCAGTATGTTTACTGGAGGGTTGGTGGTTATATGGTCAATGCCGTGGTCAATCATTGAAAATGGTGAACACTATTTAAATATCTATTTATGGTTTGTAGTGGTGATTAGGTGATTAGTGGCTGATTCGCGATTTTTATATACTGGTTAATGACAAATCAGAGAGGCTGATGCTTTTTTTTTTTTTAAAATCAACGAATGACACAACGGTTGGCTGATGGGTTATGAAAAACTGGTTGATGTTGGTTGATTCTTAGTAGTCAGATATAACGGTTATTGGTTGATGGTTGCTGATGGTTGCTGATGAATAGCAGGAAACGATCTGCAGGCAGTTCACCAGACATCTAAAGTTGCCTCAACATGCAACTTTCTCGGCTGCTCAAAAGAGAATTGCAACTGGTTAAAAAACACTGGTGATCGCAAGTCACTGCCGCTGTCCCATCTGGGGTGGTCCGCCAACGCTGGGAGGATCTTTTTTGCGTGCACCGTTGCATTCTCGATTCCGATCTCCAAGCTCCTCTCGGTGGAAGCTCTTTGGAAAGGACCACGATGGTGGGGTGGGATGTACAGTCACGAACAGTTTCGTATAGTTTCGTGGTGCACACGCACATTGCGCACATGCCAAATGTGCACAATCAGGAATTTTTTTCGCCAGCACACGCAGAGAAATACACACACACACATGCATCTGATAAGCATCTGAGAAGCCGATGCATCTGATGCGTGCGTGCCACGTGCGAATCGATGTGCCACGCCAGGATCCATCATGGGCATCGGCCCTTGCATCCTAACGAAGGTTTTCTGCGCCCTCTTCATGGGCGATGCACGTTGGGTCATCGGCTGGGCCATGGTGGGGCGCGCCGAGTTTGCGCCACTAATCCTGGAAAGGTCGTAGATGGAGATAAGGTGGAGGGCTAACTATATAACTGTGTATGTATATCGATATCTATCCATCTGTCTAATCTAATGAAATTCAAATCTAAATCTAAATCGAGATCTAATCTATTCTGATCTGATCTTATTTGGTCTTATCTTATCTATCTTATCTATCTTATCTATCTTATCTATCTTATCTATCTGTTTGTCTGTTTGTCTGTCTGTTTGTCTGTCTGTCTGTCTGTCTGGCTGGCTGGCTGTCTGTCTGTCTGTCTGTCTATCTCTTTATCTCTCTCTTTCTCCCTATGCACACATGTACATGTATATATATAATATGTATTTATATTTATATATCTTTTCTACATTAATACAAAGGCACAAGGTGGATATATGAAAGAATCACAGATGACATTGCCAGCAATTTGTTTAGTGCAGACATTATTCCAAGCCCAGGCCAGTTGTTGTGGGGATTTGCTTGGGACTTGATGGATAAGTGAGGGAGGGGGTTGGTACTGTAATCAAAGTGAACTGGAATGTAGCTTCTTGGCTGTAAGTTTGGTGCGTGGAATATTCGATTCCATTCTAATCCCACATCTGCAATCTGCAACTGGTAGTGAGGTAGTCATCACCCACCACTGTTGCCCAGGTACCTGATTGCTCAGATGGCCGCTGCCTCGAACATGTTGGATGAGGAGATGTTTTCGGTGGTGATTTGGGCCCTGCTTTGGGCCACCGTCTTTGCACCATTTGTTTTCCGCTATGTGCTGAACAGCCACATCAAGGCCCGGGGGTTGCAGGTTGGAAGGGAAGGTCTCTTGGGGCTTGCCATTCAAACTCTGGCAGGCCCAGGGCCTGGAGGATAAACCGCCGAACCGTTCCTTCTTCTTTGGTCCGAGTCGCCCCGGCGTTGGCGTGGAGCGCCTACGCCCGAGAAGGCACCGGTTCCGTCGGGGGTTGTCGTCGTGTTGGAACAAACAGCAATGGAAAATGCGCACTCTTCGATTTCATTCAAGGTTCAGCCTAGAAAATTTGGAACAACAACTGCCAACATGTATCAGGGGTTTCTAAGTACCGTCATAAAATGTCATAACCTCCTCTCCCATCACTTCAAAACCTCGTGAATTTCCTCAGGTCACCCTTCCGTTGGACCCCAAGGGTGCCACCCCCGAAGCCTTGGAAATCATGGAGGCGGGCGCCGCCAAGGCCGCCAAGGCACCCGACAAGGCACCCGTGGAGCCCTCAGTGGATGCGGTGGCCACGACAGCTGAGATCGAGGATCCGGTGCCCACGATGAGTCCACAAAGCACTCCGGAGCTCAGCACAGCGTCACCGGAGCAGAACAGTAAGGCCCACTTGTGACGGAAGATGATGTGACAATGAGAAGTGATGATAAGTGATCCAAGATGTGGAGAACTCACAGTGAGTTCTAGGCTCCCTTTTTTGAACAAATGAGCTGAGGCTAGCTGGGGATGGGCCAAAAGATGCGGTTTCGGATGGGTTTGGTGAAAAAAGGCAAGAGCTTTCATCCAAGGGGTGGGTGTTACATGCAAGCGAGATTTTTGTTGAAACATCCCCAGCATCAGAGAGCCAAGAAACAAAAAAAAACAGGTTTGAACCGTCGGGTTGGGGCCCCATGTGCTGCAACCTGGCCCGTTTCATGACTCAGAGCTTCGAGTCATAAGAGGTTTCACTGCGCTTCCTGTGAGAGGATAGCGCGGTAGGCGAGCACGTCGCAGTGGGATGGCATCATGTGAAACATGACTGGCCTCGCCTTTTTTTGACCCGCCTTGGAAGGTGGAGGGCGCCCATGCGGATGTCGGAAACCGCTTGGATTCAAAGCCAATGCCAAAGGGAAGCCATGGAAGCCATTGCTAAGTAGCCTGTCGAGCCAAGTAGTTTCCATGGCAAGTGCCTGCCAAAGGTTTGTGCATACATCGACCGTGCATCGAGGGGTGCTTCTAAGAATCAGGGGCCGGCGTGGGGCCCGGGAATAAAACATGGCAAGGGAAAAAATATCCATTCTTAATACACATATTTCATCTATGAGCCCATTGAACCCATTGCCAGCTTAGATTGTCGGAGGGTAATCTTCCTTTCCGGCTGTTTTCTATTTAGGAGGCACCCTGTAAAATCCAGCAGCAGTGTGAGCGGCACATGGCAGCTGATCTGAGTGGAACTGTGAATGATTCTGTTGACAACTTGGACAGGTACAGCTTCCAGAAACATACTTTCGGATCATCATGAAACCTTGGTAGGCCCAGTAGGCCTGTTATAGAATGCATCCGGATAAGATTCATTTCATGAAATTTCAGATGTTATCTCAAATTTAAGTTGGTTACCTCTGAACATCACCAGGAACAAAGCCATGGACTCAAATCGACATGTTGACCTGGTGTGACTCATTCGAGTTTTTGATTTGTCCCACTTGGCTGCTTAGCACTTGCCGCACTTGCCACTGCTCATGGTGACAACCTTCGACAACCTTCTAGATTTTGTGGAACATCAGTTCCTTCGCACCTCGCGATAGGATCCGTTCTTTCCACCAGAGAGGAACAACGTGCAATTTCTCCCTCGCACCATGTGAGAGGACCCAGCACAACTCCTTCGCACCACGCGAGGAATGCGAGTGAAGACGACTTGGAAAAAGGCGCGGCTTGCTCCAAACCATGAAAAGGTAACTGATAGCCACAAGGGGGGTAAATTGTGGGTCTACAGTATGCTGCCTCTTGATCTACCCGATCTACCCAGTTTCCCCCTTGTTTCTGGCCGTGTTTTCGACGTGTGTCGCGTCAATCTTTTCCGACTGCTTTCGTAACAACCGTGGGGCACCGTGGGGCACCCGTCCTTTTGAAAAGAACCACAGTGTTGTAGTGATGATAAATGGTACACAACTGGGACACAGTGGGATGTAAAGGGTGTCAACCTGTAAATCTGGTGGTCTCACCATTCGAAACTCCGCGTCAGTGCTGAAACCGCGGTTTTGCCGTGGTTTGGCCCCCAGCTAAAGAGGAGGATTCAAGGAGAGATGATGAGTTGATTTGCCCCTAGCAACGGGGACCGTAGCAAATCTTGGCTACGATAGTCAGGGAGAGTACCTTTGGTCATTTACCATAGTTATGGATATATGATATATAGTTAGAAATTTTGATGGTAATTATGAATCTATAAATGAGCAATTTTCCATAGCTATGTTGAATACCGGGAGGTATCCATCGTGAACTTGTGATTTGATGCTGGAGGGCATTTGGCAAGGTCCCTCGCAACCTGCGACTTGTGAGCTGCAAACAGCAAACTCCACTTGCAAGGTGGAAAACAGCTACCAAAATGCGATGGTTTATGCACACGCACCACAAACATATACTACAATTGTATGTGCATATCCATTTGGATAGGTCTTCATTCTGAAGTGGATGGAATCTCGCCCCATCTTGCATTTTCAGCAGCTTCCTGTGTTTAAGATTTTATATTCTGACTACCCGAGGCCAACTGGAAGCCCCATGGATCATCCAGAAAAATCGGTGCTATCCTCATTCCGGCTGGATGCCTACAGATGCCTACAGTACCTCAATTTGTACACTTCCAGTAGTGGCTTGAGATGCAACCCAGCAGATCATACAGACCTGCTAGTTATAGCAGTTATCAACTCATACTGAGACGTTTATTTTCAACACTCCCCACTTGGCCAAGCCTGGCCCTGGCCTTGCCCGGCCGGTGGCCCGATGTCTGCCTCACCAAGCCCCGTGGCCGCCGTAGCTGCCGTGGCCGCCGCGACGCCGGCGCCGTCCAAATGGCAGCGCCTGGTGGCGCTGGCGCGGCTGCTCCGTGACCAGCTGAGGAGGTACCGCGAAGTGGCGCCCGTGGCAGGCGACCAAACGGCCTGGAAGTGGTGGGGTTTTGGCTCAACATCCAGGGTGAGGTGGTTTGGAATCGTTAGGACGTTAGCTATATGATTTTCGAATGTGTTCAGAATTGAGATGATCATGGTGAATTTTAGAGTGGAATGGTCCATGGCACTAACGTTTTCCAGCTTTACTTCACCACTTAGCCCGGCCAACAGTCATGACAGATATATGATCATTTTCTCGTTCAAGATTCATTTTTTGGGTATGGTCAGTTCTAGACATGCCATGGTGGAAGGCGGATCGCATCAGTGATCCGCACATTTTCAGAGAAGCCGGTGGTTTTGGGCTTACAGTCCAACTAAATTGATCACAACTGTATCTTAAGCATGTGATTTCTTGGCCAGTGATCTCAACATCTCTATACATATCTCATATACTTTGCTCACTTTCACCAAATTCCCATCGAAGATTGCTGTCGGACCTTAAGACCTAGTCGCAGGGCTGTTGTATGCCTTATGGCAACGGCGACAGTGGCAGTGGCAAGCCTCGCAAGCCGCAAAAGCTGTGCGCGATCGACACTTTATGGAACTCTGTACCTTCCTTTTGGCTGCTTGGGCGCAGGATACTGCAGCACCATGGTCTCCGGGTTTGTTTTTTTCTCAGGTCATAACCCACCGTAGTGAAGATACATGTATCATTCTCACTTATATAGCAATTGCATGCAATTGCTCCCATTTCTGACAATGATTCCAGCTGGTTTAACCTCCATTTTTTGAACCATCAAAATGTCCATATTTTCACCGATTTTTTATATTTTTTCGCCCCCAGCACAATGGCAGTATAGATGTGCTCCCCCTGGAACTGCCTTTCATGGCTCGCATCGCAGCTCCCAGGTGAACGTGGATGGCTTGAAGCGCGGTGCGGATGCCTCCACCACCATCTCGGTGCAGACGCTCTTCACCCGCACCTTGCGGTCGCTGATGTTTGACAACGATGCCTGGGAGTTGTTGGTTGATTGGTGCGTTGGGGTACTTGGGCACCCAAGTTTGGAGGTCTTAAACCTTTTAATCCAGCAAAACTGGGATGTACCCACTAAAAGGAGTTGTTGGTCGGGGGTGGGGGTTACAGTCCAATTGTACATGGGATTTTCAGATTTGTGCATAGAATCTGCTGAAACCCGCAGGGTGGGCGAAAAGAATGGGCTTTAGCGAAGGAACAAGGGAAAACGATAGCCCAAGTAGATCCAAGTAGTGATGATATAGGGATGGTTTGGGTGCGTTGAAACAAGGATTATTTTCGAATCAGCATGGACCGCCAATGGGAGAATATCTTCAACAGGAGTCGGCATACGGACATTGCCAGAAAAGCCTGAAACAAAAATCCGTCAGCTCAAAACATCCCAATGAACATCTGTGAAGTAGGCAGGAATTTGTCTTTTAGTCCTTGGGATTCATTCTAGACAGGATAGGGGACTGCAGGAAAGTAGCTTCATGAAACGTCTAGAGAAATAACTTAACAATTTGGTCCTTGCCATTGGTCATGAAACCTATCATTGTAACCCAACTATAAGAACCTGCCGTGAATTCACATAGCTGAATATGGTCAGGGCCACCCAAGGGTGACAACCACTGATGTCTTTGCTGCCGCTTGCCGGCATCTTTATCTACACTGTGGATTCTGCAAATGCAAAATGTTGACTCAGGCTTCAGAAACACCCAGTTTCCTGGTAAGGGGGGAGCAGTGAGCATTTACGATTCGATTTTGTTACCATTTTTGGGGACCACCTCTATTTGTAAAGTGGGGTTAAGTGGGGTTCTTTACATCTGTGGTTGATGTTACAGCCTTTGAAATCCTTTGGCAAAAGTTAAAGCAGCCCAACAGTGGATTGGTAGAATCTTCCCTGGGTTGCGGGTTGTGCCCTATCATTTTCCCGATGAACAATTGCCATCAGTTGCCAGAAATTCGGGTGCTCATGCTGTTTAGAGACAAAAGATACTGCTTGCGTAAGGTTGAACACATTTGAAATTACAGACCCCCCTAAAGTTTGAAAGCTTTGAAGAGTTTCAGCTACCAACAAACATCACATTGCACCGGCCCCAAAAACATGCAACGGTCCGTTGGCTCCGTTCAGCGAGGAGCAGATGGTGGACTTGGTGAGCCAAGCAGCCGAAAAGGCGGTGCCAGCAGCGCCCCTCTTGGAGTTGGGTGGTGATGGCTGGCTCGGTGCCCAAGCGTGCCGATGTCCATTCGTATGACTGACATCTAGCTGACTAGAGGCCTCTAAAGTGTTTTTTTTTTTAATGGTCATATGTCATATATGTCCCACTATTGATGGACATTAGATATACCACCCCATCTTCAGACATACCCATCGATGGGCTGGTTTTAAGAGATATTCTATGCTTTTGGCGCGTTTTGGGGCACGTTGCCATCATGGCACGGGGGTGACTTGGAAGTGCCATGGCTGTGTCAAGGTTGGTGATGGCCAACATCAACGCCCACCTGATGGAAGCCACTTGTAGCTATGGCCACGTGGCTGCGGCCTGTGGCAACCCGGTGAACGTGGTGGAGTTCCTTTATGGCTTGGTGTCTGGGTGAGGATGGGCAGATGAAGTTGGGGATCTGAAAATCAAGGGTCATGGCCATTGCTCACTTGGATACCCTCTAGTAAACTAACACAGCTATTGAACTTGGCCATTTGTAAATTTATAGTTGATTTACCCATTAAAAATGTAGATGTTCCATATCAATCACCATTTTCCCATGGTTTTCCCATAGAAAAACGGTGATTTCCCATGGTTTTTCCCATGGTTTACCAGAGGATATGTGGCGCCCGTTTCCCTTTAAAATGGTGCAGAACCACGACCAGCCCAGGTCAACGACCGTACCACGACCTCCCGTCAGCAACTTCGGGTCTATGTGGTTCGAGAGAAGGAGCCAAAAAAGGGCCATGGACGTGCATATACATACTGTATAATACTGTATATATATATTCTGACTGTGTATATATATATACAGATAATCGTTTATATTTATTGTATTTATATTTGTACTTATACGTTTATATAATTTGTTTTTGATTTTAAACGCCACTTGAAACGACATGTACAGGCATGATACAAGGACCACGTCCAGGATTTGCAGAACCTGCCGGAGTCTCTGGAGCTGGACCTCCGGCGGAGCTCCTTTCGCAGCGCGTGGCTTGGGCCTGGTGATGCAACGTTGGAAGCGGCAAAAAGCGGTGGTTTTCACCGGCAGAAAGGGCAGAAATGGCGATTTAGAAATTTGATGGGGTTTAATTTTTGGGTTCATGGGTGGAAGAATGGCCTCCGATTTTTAACCAGCAACTTGATCAAAGAGAGAAGGGTAGAGCGGAAAAGAGGAGAGCAGAGAAAAAGAGAGAAGAATAGAGTAGGGTTGAGTAGAAGAGAGTAGAGTAGAGAAGAGTGGAGTGAAGAAACGGTAGGTAGAGACGGGGATAGAGGAGAAGACTAGAGCAGAGCAGAGGGGAGAAAAGCAGACAACAAAAGAGGCACAGCAGATATGAAAAGAGCGATGAGGAGCAAGACCTGTGAATGGAAAGAGATGTCAATAGAAAGAGATGTCACAGGAAAGAGGTGTCACGGGAAAGAGATGTCAATAGAAAGAGATGCCAAGAGAAAGGGATGCCAAAGAAAAGAGATGTGAAGAGAAACAGATGACAAGAGAAAGAAATATCAAAACCAAGATGCCAAGACCGAGACCAACTTTTTTTTGATCTTTAGCTTTCATTTAGCCTCCTTTTTTTCGACAGCAGTCTCGTACCGGAAATCACCCCAAAATCAGCCCAGGTTCTCGGTCCTCCAAAGCATGGCGCGCTCCTACACCGCGCCGCCGCCCGGCTTCCGGCAGCACAACGCACTGAGCATGACCACCGGGCTGCCGAGTGCCATGGGAAGGACCTGGCTCACCTTCCCTGTCTCTGAAACGAGATCACGGCTGTGAGGAATTGATGGGTGGATGATGGTGGATGGATGGGTGGATGGGTCGTGGTGATGATTTATTTTTAAGAATATACCTGGAACCCAAATGAGCCGCATTTGAAACAGGATCTGTTTCAGGATCCACACTGGATTTTCGGATCATTTGGGATCCAGACGAGTGGTCAGGCCAGTAAAGGCTTGGTGCTTCGGAAGTGAAAGGCCAGACATTTGAAGGAACTTTTGCTGCACCTGGGCGGAGTTTGCCTATGTTTGCCTATGTTTGCCTTCTCCGGTGAATGTACCCGGCCTGGTAAACTGTTACATAACGAACTGGAACATCACAATTTTTAAGAACGGTAAATCAACATAAATCAACTATTTCGACTGGGCCATTTTCAACAGCAAACTGTTTGTTTACCAGAGGATATTTGGAAAGTCCACATGAGAAAACTGGTTGGGAAAGCCCTGAGGAGTTGCCGGAGATCACCTGCTTTTATGGGGATTTTCCGGCCATGTGTTGTGAAAAATGTGGGTAAAACAAAGGCATTTTAACCACCCCATTTCTGATGGTGGTTTATACCACCCACTATTAATAGTGATGACTGGGGGATGGTGCCGGTGACATTGTTTTAACCACATTACTGGCGGGACATGTTCTCAGTCACAAAGTTGGCTGAACTTTGACGGCGACCGCGGAAATCAGCTGCTGGATCCCTGGTGTGTGCAGCACAGCGGCCACCCGCAGTGTGGGGGACCTGTATCACTCATACAAAGAGTAAGATACACTAAGAAGAAAGCTCCTCAAAGTCTTAAGTCATTACAAGAGAATCTAGAAATGCACATCCCAACATTCATCAACATTCATCAACATTATCAGGTACACTAACAAGAATTATGCATTGTTTGCACATCCGTTTGGGAAGCCATGGAGTGTCACTCCACAGGATCCAAGAATCCGTTTCTGCCGCTTCCCAGCCTTTGGCTCCAGCATGATGCGACCCCAGTCGGTGCCCACCAAGACAAAGAAAAAGGCCTGTGGTTGATCTCTAGAGTCTAGTTACCCTCTGGTTATGTCAACATAGCTATGGAAAATCACCATTTTTAATGGGAAAACTCACTATAAATGGCAATTTTCAATAGCTATTTTGACATAACCAGAGGGTAAACCATGTTAAACCCCCATTGATGAGGCAGTTGCATGGGGTATCATGGGGTCGTCATTTTGTTGTCAAGCCATCCTGAAGGGTGTATTTAGCGAGAATCTGGCTTTTAGCAACGCAACTTGGGACATCATCGGCAAGAGGTTGACAAAAACATGACGAAAACAATTTTGGCTTAAAACAAAAACACATTTTTTTCCCACTTTTTTCATATTTTTGGTGGTGAAATCCCCATTTTCTTGGTTCAAAATCGGTTCCACTCCATTTTTTCCCCGGTGAACTCGTTGCCTTTCCGGACCGCATCAACCCGGACCGCAGGACCGCAGCCGCGGCCGCGGCCGACCACGAAGCGTCGGCGCTCCATTTCCTAAAGGCCACTTCCAAAGATGCTCAATACTTGAATGGTGATTTTCCATGGGAAAACCATGGGATTTTATGGTGGTTTAATGGGATTTAATGGGATTTAATGGGATTTAATGGGATTTAATTTTCTATACCCTCTGGTTATTTAACATAGCCATGGAAAATGGTTGATTTTCCCAGCTAGAAACCTCCATTTATTGGTCCATTTATGGTTGGGATTTTTCATGGCTATGTTAAATAACCAGATGGTAAATAAATGACACACAGATATATCATATCATGATCTATATTGTACAAATTGTACAATACATACCTCTAAGTACATCATAGTACATCATAGTACATCATATTACATCATATTACATCATATTACATGATAGTACATCATAGTACAGATAGAAAGATGATAGATAGATAGATAGATAGATAGATAGATAGATAGACAGACAGACAGACAGACAGACAGACAGATAGATAGATAGATAGATAGATATATAGATAGATAGATAGATAGAAAGATAGAACGATAGAAAGAAAGAAAGATAGATAGATAGATAGACAGATAGATAGATAGAAAGATAGATAGATAGATCGATAGAAAGAAAGATAGATAGATAGATAGATAGATCTATAATCAATTAAAATTTCTTAAAACTCGTAAAAAATCATTAAAATTCTGTGAAATTCTTTAACATTCCCCAAAATTCCTTCAATTTGCTTAAAATTCATATTTTTTTCAGATTCCTTAAGAATCATTGAACATTCAAAAAAAAACCTTAACATTCCCAAAAAATCTTTCAAATTCCTTAAATTTCATCAACAATTCTTTAAATTTCCATAAAACGTGAAATTTCCGTAAAATTCTTTCTCATTCCTTAAAATTCTTAAACAAATCTTGCAAAAAATCAAAATTCTTTAAACATCCTTTAAAAAAAACAAAAATCCTGAAAATTCCTTAACATTCCTGAAAATTCCTTAAGCTGCAAAAAAAACTTAAAAAAAATAAAGTACCTTAAACAAATTTTGAAAATCTTTCAAAAATCCTTCAAATTTCCTTATATGTTTCAACATTCCTAAAAAGTGCGAAAAAAACCGTTTTTTTTTTACAATTCCTTCAATTTCCTTAAATTTTCTTAAGATTTCTTTAACATTCCTTATTTTTTTTAATTCTTTAACATTCTTCAAAATTCCTTAAAGATCGTTAAGCACATTCTCAAATTCTTTCAAATTCCTTAAAAAACCCTTAAAACAAAATTTTTATTTTTATCTAATTAACAAATCTTAAAAAAAACCTAAAAAATCATTTAAATTCCTTAAAAAAATCCTTAAAATTATTTAAACTTCTTAAAACTTCCTTAAACATTTCCTAAAATTACTAAAAATCTTAATAATTTTCAAATTCCTGAAAATTCCTTAACATTCCTTCAAATTGCTTAAAATGCCTAGAAATAACTTTCAAATTCCGTAAAATCCTTTAAGAATCCTAAAGAATCATTAAATTCCTTAAAATTCCTTAAATTCCTAAAGATTCTTTAAAATTCCTAAAAATTCCAAAAAATCATTAAATTTCCTTAAAATTCCTTAAGTACACAAAGAAGTGCAGTAACTCAACAAACTGATCGACCCAGGCGGCCTGGACGATGACGCCTTCTCGGATGCCAGCGACTTCGAGGCCTTTGATCGACAGCTGAAGCGCCAGGATCCCTACGGCCGCTGGGTGGCGGCCAACCGAGCCTTGGGTCGCCCTGGATGCGGTGCAGGGGGGGTTTGGGGGTGGAAAATGCTAGGAAAAATGAGAAAAATGCTAGGAAACATGGGAAAATATGGGGAGAATATGGGGAGAATATGGGAGAATGGGGGAAAGATGCTGGAAATAATGTGGTGGAAGATGAGGAACATGATGAAGACATGGTGGAAGAGAAGACAATTATGGTGGAAAGGTGCTGGAAAATTTGTGTGGTGACATTTGGTTGGGGATGGGGGGTAGTTTTTTTTGGGAAGAAAAGAGGATCCTAACCATGGGGGAAATACCAATTCGGCGACCATTTCTCCGAAGTCATGCCTTGTCAAAATTGGAGTTATGAACCTCGATCATGGAAGGGTTTACCAGTGGCCCTTCTTGTGGGAAGTAGATGATGCAAGCTGAGGAGAGGAGCGCGGCCACCGGGAACGTTTGGTGAATATTCAGGGCGAGTTCTTGAATCCTGTGGTTGCCCATCGCATGCGAGCCAAGAACAACCCCTACAGGTCTGGTCTGAGATTGTAGCGAGTGTTGATGCGAGGGGTTGACATAGCTACAACAAAAAACTCTGGCAATAGGAAAACAGGTTTTCAGACATTTTTTCAAACATGAGGGAAGCCATGGGACCTTCCCGAATTGCTTTTGTCCTTTTCGTGAACCGAACGACTTTCCGAGCTTGCGAGATGTCACTTGACCATCTTTACCCTGCAATCAACACAAACCTAGAGTGAAGTGCTGGCTTTAGCACACCTATCAATTATATGAAATACGGATATGATATAAGATATATATATATATATATATGTGATATAAGATATATATATATATATATATGTCCCGATTCTGCTGGGGCGCGAAAGGGCGCGAAAGGTTCGCGAAAGTGCGGCGTAAGGGCAGTTTTCGGGTACCATAATTTTGGATAACCCCCACACACACACATGAAATTTTAATTGCGCTTATCAGCCGCTATCTAGCCACTAATGAATATTTAAGTGATCCAAGTAGGGCCCCAAGACTTTCTACCTAATATATACATCTACATATACATAGATCATATATGATACGGTATATGTATATTATGTAGACGTGCTTTAAAAATATACTGGTTGGTGGTTTGCAACATTTTTATTTTCCACAAAAAAATAGGGATGAGAATCCCAACTGACTTTCATATTTTTCAAGATGGTTTTTGCACCACCAATCAGTATATTAATAAACTGATTAATATACCCTCTGGTAAACATTTACAAAAAAAACGATGGAACAATTACCATGTTATAGCTGGGTAAATCAACTATTTCTATGGCCATAGATGTCCTTTTCCCATTGGTTGAATGATGAAAAAAGAGGGGTTTGAAACTATCCCTTTAACAACAGGTTTGTTTGATGATAGATGGGATTAGCCAGCTCCCGGCCCCTCTATTTTTACCAAAAGGAGATTATGTGGTGAATCTGCAGTTCGATACTGCCCAAGGCTTTATGTCGGATGTCTCCATGTCTTTCTATGTCTTTCTTCAAATCGATCTGCAGATCGAATGATGTTCGATGACTTGCGATGCCGGTGTCTGTTTTCATTACTCATGTACTGTATCATACTGGTTTCAGCAACATCGCGAGATAGTCAGCAAAACGGGGGGCTTTGCGAAATCACAGCAACCAGCAGCGCTTGCGACGTCTATGGCCTGTCAGGAGAAAGACCTTGTACGACCAGCTCAAGGAGATCACCAATGCTGAGGATGCCTGCACCAGGGAGCCTCGGCGACGCTGATTAAATCAGCTCCCATGGGGAAATGTTAGATGAATGCATATGAATCAGATATGGGTATGGGTCAATACCTATTAATACCATTTTTAGTGGGATGAACATCCATTTACCAGCTATTTTGGGGTTCACTAGGTACCAGGGTTTTGACCCATCCCCATATGAATAGTAAAATGTTGATAGATTAGTGCTGATCATAGATGTTGGTAAATGTTGATCTTCATTGATTAAATTGATAAATGTAGTAAAAGGTAAGGTACCTGTTGGTAAATGTTGGTAGATTTACTCTTCCGATTTGTTCAGCTTGCTCCCTTGGAATGTCAATACTATTGAGGGGATTGAGACGTGACTAAAAGGGCCCGGAGGGGAGTCCCATGTGAACCATTGACGATATCGCAAGAAAGGGTGATGAATCCAACAACATGGAGGATTTTGCCCAGAATTGGTCGCTTGATGCCATCACATCATATCACATCCATCATGTTCAACGGTATCACTATGAAATGTCCATATCAACACCAAACAGTGCTATTGTTCCAAGACTAGTGGAAAACCCGATTGTTTGTGATGCAACACAAAATGTCACTTTTTTAGAACTGTGATGAAATATGACGCTAATTTACCCACTGATAAGATGCGATACATATATACATAAAAATCAATCAACTATATATAAACATTATTTGATTACAAAAATGGTATTCATCATGTAAAATCATATAATTCATACATAGAAAAACAAATTTGGCATTATAATATGATGGACATTTACCCACATGGCTTGAAGATTTTAGGTCCTAATTTTTTGGTCAAGCCAAGACCTTCAGGCCTTGCGCGCGGATCGGCTGGAGGGATGGACACGCTCCTCAGAAACCACGGTGCGCTGAACGCTGAGCTGAGCTAGCCATGAGGAATATTTCACATGCTGAAAGTCCCCCCCAAAAAAATTAGGTTGCAGGGTAGCCCTGGCTAGCTATCTGGCTATCCATCTATCCTATCCTGTCCGAAAAAAATATGGTAGCCCTTGGCGACCGGCGTGGCCCTGTGGCCCTGTGGAAAGGAGGTGCGGCATGTGCTGAAGATCGATGATGGTTCGAACAATCGAACTCGTCCGAAGAGTTGCGCGGTTCGTTGAGTTGGAGTTGGGCCGTTGGGGATGGATTTTCACCCGAAAAAAACCGTAGGATTTCATGGGATTTCATAGGATTTCATGGAATCTAATAGGATTTAAAGGGAATATTTAGTGGGAATTAATTAGCTTTTTGTAGTTTCACATAGCTACGGAAAACTAGAAATCCATGTGGTAAATTATCTATAAACGGACCATTTTCGATAGCTATGTGCAATTTACCAGAGGGAAATCTAGGATTAATAATTAAACACCCAAGGGAGGACACTATCCTGGACTGTTGGGGATTTACCTGCGGTTCCAGGTTTCCATTGGGATGTCCACTTGGAAGTTGAGTTCTGATGACCAACCTGGAATTGGACAAAATGAGGCGACCCCAACAAAAACATTCAAAAAACAACCGCTTTTGTCCTTGGAGTCCAAGGACTCATGTCTAGTAGACATCTATTTTTTAGGCCGACAACCACTGACGTGCACCGAGACGTGAGAAAATCCGATGCGGGGGCCGACATGGTCTTCATGTGCCTCGACCGCACGAGGTTGCGAACACTCCCGACATGGATCCCCTATGGTTTTTTCAGGCCGATGAATAATCCTATATGTATAGTTCCTTATTTAGAAATAGCAATGTTTAACATAGATATGCAGAAAAAAACTGTTTCTAGATGACTTACATCTCAAGAATAGCTATTTTCAATGGCTATTCTTGATTACCAGAGGGATCCAGAGGGTGTTGGAGCAAGAAAAACACCTGGAAAGGATTGGAAAGGTGGTTTGGAGATGTTTTGAGTCTTGACCCTCAAATTTGTAATGATCATTCGAACAGAATCATCATTTTTTGGGAGTTAGGTGGATCATTCCAGTACCCGAGTTCAAGATGTATTTTTGACTCATGATTTCATCATTGTTGGACTAAAGCATGATTTCCACTCGTGAAATCATCACAAGTTGGGTAAAATCGTTCAGTTCCCAACTTGTTTCATACATTTCTCACTCATTTCTCAGATTTTTCATCATTTTCCCATGGCTTCAGGCCTTTACCCTCTGGTAATTTAACAGTTTGCTATTGAAAATCCACCATTTTTAATGGGAAAATCCACTATTTCTATGGTCATTTTCAATAGCTATTTTGACATAACCAGAGGGTAAGGCCTCCATGGCTTCCTGCTGAATCGCGGTCCAGGATGGACAACGCCGACGTCTTGGAAGATCCCGTGGGGCGCCTCGTCGAGGTCGGGGAGCGCGCGCAGAGACATCGGGAAGAACAAGAACGGCGCCAGGAGCGCTGGAGCCAACACGACATGGAAAAATGGCGATTTAGCTAGTAAAAATGGTGATTTAACCAGTAAAAATGGTGATTTAACAAGTAAAAATTGTGATTTAACAAGTAAAAATGGTGATTTAACAAGTAAAAATGGTGATTTAACTAGTAAAAATGGTGATTTAGACCGCAACGATGATGATTGAAGCAGTAAGCATGGTGATTGTTCAGCCGATAGCAACGGTGCAGGATATTGAGCACCGTATGGCCGAGACGCAGGAGACTTGTTTTCCCCACAGCGTGAGCTCCGGAAATCGGGAAGCGGCCGGGCCTTTATTAATGACGATCTTGCACTCCTAAGTGAGAAAAAAAAATGTAGTGACCTAATTATGTCGGATTATTAAGCTAAAAATGTAGTGACCTAATTATTATGACAATCACTTTGAAAAAAAAACAGATTGTTGTAGTGACCTAATTATGTGGGATGATTGTTTCCACCAGTTCCACTGAAGTTCCACTGAAGTTCGACAGAATGCAATTCCGGGGCAAATTTCTGATTCATAAACGGAGCAATGCGATTTTTTGGCTAATTTCGATTTAGACAAATGGAGCACTGCGATTTTTGGCTCCTTTTCGTGCTATGATTATCACCAGTGACATTATCATTATCATTATCATCATCATTATCATTGATTATCATTGTTCATCACTACCTGTTATTGGTTTATTATTTATATATGTTACTGGTTACTATAATATTTGTCTTTATCATTTATCAGTTATCACTATGTTTTTTGGGCTGCACATGCTGCTGGCCTGGCCAGGAGAAGTTTGGCATCCAACGGATGCAGATCGTTGAGGACTTTTTGGGGCAAAAAATGGTGGTTTTCTGGGCGATTTCATGGGGATTGAACTACGAAAACATGTTGATATATTGGAATTACCCTCTGGTAATTTAACATAGCTATTGAACATGGCCATTTATAGTGAGTTTTCCCATCAGTCATGGTGATGTTCCATAGTTATGTTAAATTACTAGAGGGTATTCATGATAAATCTTGGGCTGTCAATGGCAAGGATCGAAACAACCCATACTCCCCAGGCTCTGGTAATTTAACAGTGTGCTATGGAAGATTGCCCCTTTAGTCAGGTGATTTACCTATTAAAAATGGTGCTTTCCATAGCTATTCTGGGGGGCTGGCTGGGCCTTTTTTTCTCGCCTTGAGTCTGTGACTCTCGGAGAGGGCGATGGAGAGAGAGATAGCTACCCTCTGGTTATTTAAAATAGCCATGTAGAACGGCCCATTTATAGATGGTTTACCTATTAAAAATGGTGATTTTCCATGGCTATGTTAAATAACCAGATGGTATATTAAAGAGTATTAAAGTACCAAGGGGGTAATCATAACTGCAACAAATACACCCCATAATGCACATGGATATGTAGCAACAACTGTTGCAATCTATATTGAGTTTAATGAATATTGAGAATCCCTCTTTGATTAGTTGATCAACACCACAGCATGGTGATTTTAACTGGGGGTATAGTTGGATATCAATGGAATGTAAATGGGTATATCATGGGATAATGTCAATAACCACGGGTTGATCATCGGATACATATATATATATATGCATACATATTCATGGGATTTTGATGGAGATATTCATGGACATATAATGGGAATTTACAACTAACAATCTGTGATAGGGATAGTATGTGGGGATGAATTGCAACGACCTCACTATGACCTCTCATGTGCCTCATGAATTATCATTTCCCATCCTTCATTTCTGGTAGTTCACCAGCAAACCATATCCTATGTCGGCCGGAAGGTAGGAATTTCCACGAGCTGCAGAACCTTGTGCAAACCTGTGCTAGCCATATTCTACCCGCAACATATGAATGCCAGGAAAAAACTCAGTCATTTTATCAGGGACATCATTTTGCAACTGGTGGAAAAAAAACCTGAATCAACAGTTTCTGACCGAAGAATTATAGCATCTGCAACTTGTTCGCCTTCAGGAGCAGAAAAAGGTGCCCAGTCCCACTGCAAGGGCCGTGGCACAGAAGAAGAGGGCTACAGAGGCTGTGGAGGGGTGAGATGGGGATGATCAGAACATTGGGACCGTTTTTGGTGAGATGAAGTTAGTTATATAGCTACCATCTGGTTATGACAGTCTGCCAAGTCTGACAGTGGAAAATCACCATGTGTTTTTTTTTTTAAATAGGTAAACCATCTATTTAATCTATTTCGATTAGGGCCATCTATACCATGGCTATGTGAAATAACCAGAGGGTACTAAGGAATGAATCACCAAGGGAATGTGAATCAGCCAAGTGTCTTGTGCCATTTCACTTGCACATGTTCCTTTCTGTTCGTTCAAGTGTTCAGCCGGAAAAATGGATCAAGAATCATAGCAGGCTTGGCAACCATGCTTGGGCATATACATCAATTTAGGAAGATGAATCGCCACCAGGGACATTCTTTTAGGGCCAGGGACTGTCTCATGACATGGCCAAGACCTAGAGCATCTTTGGGGATTTGCAAAGCCGGTGGTTTCTGAAACAGATCGTTCTCGGTGGATTTCAGGAGGGGCATAGCATAGCATGCATAGCATACCCCAAGCCGAGCGGGCCGAAGCATCTCATTACCTCGCGGGTGGAGGGGGTTCATTTCCCAATTTTTTCCCCGAAAGAAATCTACGATGATTTACCCATGTAATTATAGTTGATTTACCTATTAACAATGGTGATTTTCCATAGTTATGTTAGTTTACCAGAGGGTATGATTTAATTACTTTATATATACCCCAGCAGCAGTTGATGGTAGGATTCATTCTTGTGAAGCCCACAACCTTTGGGGCATTTCGAGAGTAGCCTTCACCCCAAGTGATAATTCAACTTTGGCCCACCTCAGATGATCGTCTTCGAACAACCGGTGTCCTTTGCCATTGGCACTTGGGCGAGATGTGATGGGTGAGGGGCCGAGGGGTATCATTGGGATCCTGCCCAGAACTGGCAGAATAGTTGGCATTTAAACCCATAAATGGATGAAAATGGTGTTTTCACCAGGAAACAACTGGATGTCAAGCAGCAAGCAACGGGTTTTAACTTTTAATCATTAATTTAATCAAGATAGATGAGGAAGACCAAGATGCCAACCCCCTCCAAACTTTCAGCAGTCGTTCAGCTGTTGTCGCTCAGGAGCTTTTGACAAATGGATGCGGGGCTACTTGCAACGATGGGAACTCATCAAAGTGACCCCATCTGAATCTGAAGACCGCCTCCTCAAGTCAAGTTTGTTGAAACAGCGCAGGTCCAAGTCCCAAGTCAAATCTGTTGGGTTTGATCTAGGGACCTAGCAGCTTGCTTCGAGAGAGAGAGAGAGGTCTCCGGAAATTGCGAATCTGGTATCCCTAAAGCTACCCGAGCATCAGTGCGCATAGCTTCATAATGATCCCTATGCCTATGCAAAGATAGAAAAGCAATTTACCAGGGTTGAGCAAAAGGATGCTGCTTTTTGCCTTTTTGTCAGTGGTTGCTATGAATTCGCTGCCATGTGTTCGGCTTGCTGAAGTGAGAATTCCAGCGCCTCCCCTGATCTCTCGCGGACGGTATGGCCTCATTCAATGACCAGGCCATGGTTTACCAGCATCACACTGCCATGTGAAGAGCGCATGGGGCGTAGGTCGCTGGACATTTTTGAAGCCCAAAGTCGTTGGCTCGTTGGCAAAAAACACGCCTTGGAAACTTCAAGGCGATTCAACGCGTGCGAAGACGGTTTTGACGTGCACGCCACCGTGTCAACAATCTCCCCAGTGCATCCGCCCTCCGTTTGAGCGTGGGAAAACATGGAGAAAACGGGGGTTGTATGCAATCTTGAAGCACAGGCCGTTACGGTAACGTGTTTGGTGTGGCGTTTTTTTCATCCCTAGCCATGGTTGTGCGATGTTGCCTGGCGCAACGTTTTGCTACCGATGGGAGTTCAACCAGTGTGCGAAACCTTTGGATGCTTTGGCATGCTCCACTTACTGTCCGGTTCAAGGTTCGAACTGGTAAACAACAGATGTCATAGATCCAAAGAATCCAAAAAGGGACAGTTGTGGAAACCCTGAAATCACCTAACAGTTCCACATAAGCACGACAACTGCGGCACCTGGAAGTAGTTTTCGAGCAAACCTCAAGCTTCGGCACAGCATTCCTGACACAGGATTAGATGGAGTTGGAAAGCATCACGTGACTAATAGAAACATATAGAAACATTATTGATTGATATATTTGATATGATATGACACATTGTTGTTATGAAGTTAATCAATGTTCAGAAGTCTCCCCTATCTCCCCCTTCTGGCTGAAAAATCTCCATGACATCCATGTGTTGGCTCGCTCTGGACCAATGGAGATTGCGATTTTTCATGGTTTCGTCCAGGCAAAACTGACCCAACAGCTGAACGCAAAACTGGGCCGGTGCTGCTTTGACTCTACTAGGGCCATGCGATGGGTGTCGGGTGGCCCAGGCAAAATTGTCCAGTCCAAATGCTATGGGTCAGATCTTCTACTCCCGTTTCTTCAAAACGCTGGACCAAATGGGGTCAGATGGACAGCCATTTTGGCTCAAGTGAAATATAGGCTCCTGCGGCAAGAGATGATCCTCAACAAGTTTTAGCATCGTGCGGTCTCTTCTTTGCAAAAATGCAGCCACTGAACGAGATTGTGAACACAGACACTTTGTGTATGGCAATCAAGCAGGCCTGCGGTACATGACGATTTTTTTTGCAGCGAACTCAGCTGTGTCAGCAGAGCAACAATCCAGCGCTCGAGCTCGGAGCTTTGCTTGCCAATGTTCATAACAATTCATAACACATGCGTGGCACTTATCAACTCTGTCGCCAAGACATTCATGAATCGATATGAATCGTGTGTTTATATAGATTTCTATGAAATCGCCGGCCACTATGAACAGCCAGACTTGGTTCTGGCACCGCATCCCCTGGAGAACTGTCTCCCCGGTACCGTGCAGCAATGATGAGTGCATGGGAAACCTGGGAGACGTGTAGCATTGCAATTGAGCTTCAAGTCCCACAACATTATCAGCTCTTTATGATGGCCTATATGTTGTTCCAAACGTACACTGGCCTAATCTTGTTGCTCGCTGTTCAAGCAGCAGGAATTAATATTGACAATTGTTTTGAGGGCAGAGCTGCTGCCATTTGTGCGGAAGCAATATTGATTATGTGGTATGTCGTTGTCGTTGTGGCTGTAATGCGTGACTGGCCGGCCGCCGGGCAAGCGCCCTCTTCTTTGGAGTTGGAATTTCGACGAAGCCGTTTCCGAAATTCCTGGTGTTGTCTGAGATCCAATGTGAAGCCTCAAACGAGTGGCAAAGGGCATGATTGGCTCGCCCTCAGCCCTTTCGATGACGATATGCCAGACATCGCGGATCTCAGATATCACATCAACCCTTACTTGTGCAAGAAGTATCTTGGTCGCGATGATGGCAACTATGGCAACTATGGAATATGCTACTTCTGTTGCTGAACAGGCCACTGCCTTTGCAGGACATTCAAGCCACGTCTCACCAAATTGAGAGCGCTTTCAAGTTCCAGGAAAAGTGTTCAGGCGAAATAGATCTATATAAATAGATCTAACTAGATCTAAATAGATCTAAAGGCTTGCACTCCTGCACCTGATTTGCATCATCTGCTCGGTGGTTTCAAACAGTTCTTATTCCCCATATGTCAAGACGTCCCAGATTTCATGGATTCCGTCGTCAAACGACCAACCCCGGTCCCCAAAAAAGAACCGGCCCTGGTACCCTGGTACCCCACTTGAAGCATTCTGTCAAGGCATCAAGTAGCACCGAAAATCTGGGACATCAGCTGTCTTCGGATCTCTTGCTGGAAGCTATCAGGTGGGGAACTGGTGCTGTCTTGGTGAAGTGAAGGAACATTTAATCCGACGACAAAAACCACTGGTTGGTGGTTTCAAACATTTTTTATTTTCCATAATATATGGGATAATCCTTCCCATTGACTAGTATATTTCAAGATGGTTAAAACCACCAACCAGACCATGTTTGGTTAAAATTCGTTCTGCAGTTGACTCGTGGTGTCGTTGCGAATTTGGGTGCTTGGGATAGTTTTTGACTTGCAATCAATTAGTTTTTAACACCCCACAAAGGCGAAACCCTGGTTTCGCATTGGATCTATTCATGACTTTGGGTCCTTAGTATTTTGTACATGATTATAATATTATAATATCACATTATATCCATTTACATGTGGTTCTTAAGATTGAGCGCGCTTTTTTGTTGGATTTTTGAGGTGCAGCCACCCATGCTGCTCATCCACTCTTAGATTAATATGGTTAAATTCTATCCATACTTTAAGTATCCATTTACAGTTGGTATATCAAATTATACATTTATGATCCATTTATGATCCATTTATGATCCATTTATGATCCATTTATACCCTTCAATATCCATGAGTATTGCATGTGGTTGCCACAGATGGTCACTGGTGAGGTCAGCTGAGCCCTTGGGTGGCCGTTATGTGACCACCAAGTTGGAGCATGGACGACAAGTCGTGGTGAAGGTGGTGAAAAACATGGAAAAACCATGGAAAAACCATGGAAAACACCGTAGAAGCCATGGAAAACACCCCCCGTTTCATCCGAAAAATTGGAACATGTCTTCTACCCTCTGGTAATTTAACATAACTATGGAAAATCACCATTTTAATTGGCAAATCATCTATAAATGGTCCATTTTTCATAGCTATGTTAGTTTACTGCAGGGTAGAAATTGTTCGAATGGCTTCGTTTTGTTGAGGAAATGACGCTTTTGGGGGCGATGTTTGCTCCCCAAAAGTGGGGGGATGGCGTTTGGAGGAAGCCAACGGCGAGATAGCTGGGCATGTTTCGAGACATGAAACCTCGGCACTGTCCATTATGAATTCGTGTAGGGACACTGCTTGGTTCCCGAGTTTGAAGCAGGGCCATAGAGTCTGTGAATTTAAGCTGTTGTATGCCCATGTATGCCCCTTCAAGCAGCACCCCACGCCCTTCTTCCACCATTGTCACAATTTCTGACGAAATCCCCATTTTTGGCGCTTCCACTTCACTTCTTGTTGGTTGAATTCTCACCCGCGGCCACTCAACGACTCAACGATGGTGAAATCACAGTTGTCATGATCTGAAGCCAGGGTCATATTGCATTTTTATACGTTTTTGATCTTTGCTAAGTACCGCTTCATTCACATGTGCCGTAGTCATCCTGGAGGGTCATCGATGAGTCATCAGTCCATTCTTATTAAAGTCGGGGTTCATAAATCCATTGTATCATAGAATTGGATGATGGGAAAATTTACAGGAAAGCCCTATATTTGATGGTAAAAACCATGGTTTCCTGTAGATTTTCCCTTAAACCAATCCAGTGATTGTAGAAGAAACATGAGAACAGCGGCAGGTCTTCAAAGACGTCCAAAGTTCGGGCACCCCGGGCATCCTGGGCATCCTGCCATCCAGGTATGGGTGGAACTAGAAAGAGTCCCAAAGTTGATGAATAACATGACAACCTGTTTGGTGGTTTGGAACCATGGAATTTTATGACTTTCCATATATTGGGAATAAGAATCCCAACTGACGAACTCATATTTTCAGAGGGGTAGGTCAACCACCAACCAGCAACACTTGGGACTCAAATGAACAACAATTTGATGAATGGCAGATAATGGCAACTATATCACCCCGGGTGACCCAATATGGACCCAATATGATGACAGCAATTGTAGGTCCACTGGTGCCAAAGTTAAGTGGTTCATTATGTTATCACCTTGCAGATTGGCTGATCCATTTTTGCACTGAACCATCCAATCTTTGGATTTTTGTTCTGGTTCTCTGAGTCAATCTCTTCAATTTTGCGGTTGACGTTTCTTCAATTTTGTGTCGGGTGGGGTTATGTCATTTTTTCTGTCAATTATATCTGGTTGCTGGTTTGGAACATTTTTATTTTCCCATATATTGGGAATTTCATCATCCCAACTGACGAACTCCATCATTTTTCAGAGGGGTAGGTCAACCACCAACCAGTACCCTGAAACCCTGGTTCAGTATTGGATAAGTTCATGTTGCTGTTTGAGATGACGTCCCCATCATCCAATGTTCACCATTTCACAAACCCAAATCATATTCCATCATCTATCAGAATGCCATCAAAAATCTGACTAGATTCCCACTCATACGGTGGGTGGTTGCGGACTCCTGCACCACCAAAAGGATGGTTGAAACCCTATAAATAATGGGATGTTTACCACCTATCAACTGGTGCAGGATTTCTTCCATCCACAGTATCACTAGCTTTTGTATATTTTTTGCTGGCTTTGATCCCCCTCAAATGAGGTCATGACGTCGCGGCCTTCCAACGACGTAACTTGACAACCGCCGTTTGTTCGGACTCGCATCGATGGCGCTGGAGCTAGCTTGGCATAAGATATTGGTACTGGTTAATAGTGGTTAATGATGGTTAATAATGGTTAATGATAGTTAATGATAGTTAATCATTGGTATATAATCAATGGCTATTTCAGGAACCTAAATTGGAGGTACCTACCATATATAAGGCCTATTTTTCAGGCCTATGTAAGGGAATATCCCCACAAAATATGGCCTTATATGGTACAGTACCTCCATTTTAGGATCCTGACATTCCCATTGAAGATATTGCAACCCCAAAAAGATAGAAACGTAACATCCTGCTAAAATAGTGAATAAATACCGTTCCTTCCATCGTTTTGGGGGTTACGGTTACGGGATAAGTGGAACTAAGGGCCTCCTTGGATTGTGATGCTCTGAGCCATGCCCAGATGTCAACTTTGCCAAGGGAAGATAGTTGGGTCCTGTTTCAAACCCAACCACTATGAAGGCCACCAAAAGTTTTCCTTTGCTGATTTGAAAGAGTTGCATTTGAGCAGAGTTCCTGATACTTTCCTCTGGCAAACCTTACTTCTTGCAGTGTGTTCACCATAAAAATAGGGGACATCTTTCCGGAAGCGATGATTTTTTTCTGCCCAGGGGCTGCAGCACTCTGTGGCAGGGGCACCCCAGAGTCATTGCAGTTTGGTTGCGGAGAAATCCACTCACTCTCCGGTTGTAGACACAGCACCCCCCTACAAAGATAGAACCATGAGAAGCGTTTTTTGAAGTGTATAGTATACCGGTATATAGAAGCATCAATTTTGGCTAAGACATTGGCAAATGATCTTGTTCTCTCTTTTTTCGATCACCAGACTGGTAAGATTGGTAAGGACTGGACATGCACTTGCACCTGCTCCTGCCGATGGGTCGGGCAGCCTGGATGCCAACAAGGATACTCTTGGCGCTTGCCCTCAGCTTCAAGCTCCTAGCCTGACAGATAGAATGATTTTAAATATGGTTCCTGGTTGGTGGTTTCAATCACTTTTATTTTTCCATAATATATGGGATGTCATCCTTCCCATTGACGAACTCATATTTTTCAAGATTGTTATTGCACCACCAACCAGGTTCTGGTTTGACCATAACTGGTTGGTGGTTTGGAACATTTTCATTTTTCCATATATTGGGAATAATCATCCCAACTGACGACTTCATATTTTTCAGAGGGGTAGGTCAACCACCAACCAGATGATTATTAACCATCATTAACCATCATCATAACCATTAATATGAACCATTAATATTAACCAGTATATTACCACCCAATGGTAGGTGGCTCAACAACCAGAGAAATTATTAGTTATATGAGTTATAACTGGTTATTTCCATGGGATTATACATCTATACATGGGGTTTTGTTAGATGGTTAAAACCACCAAGCAGTTTTGTTAGATAATCATAGAATTGGATGATAGGAAAATTTACAGGAAAGCCCTATATTTGATGGTAAAAACCATGGTTTCCTGTAGATTTTCCCTTAAATCAATCCAATGATATAAATTTTCAGCTGCAGAATCTCCATCCTTCGCTGAGGATGGGCTGTCGCTGAGTCCAGCTGCTTCGCCCGGGATCCCGGATCCCGAGACGTTGCGGCGGATGAGACCCGGCCTGGTTATGACTAACAGTTTGCCATGGGAAATGGTCTATAGAAATAGATGGTTTACCTATTAAAAACGCATGGTGATTTTCCATAGCTGGTCCATTTATAGATGGTTTACCGTTCTTAATAGCCATGGTGGATCTTTCCAGTTCGCTATGTAAACGTTTACCAGAGGGTATGTTCGGAGTACTCACAAAAAATAACAGAATTCACAACCAATGAACACATGCATAGCATAACAAAGGGATAAATCAACAGAATTCAAAGGAAACCATATATTGAACACGATGACTTGTAGAGCCGTCAGTTGCGATTGCAACCTCCTCATGACATTTCGACCAATGCGAATATCGTTTATTCAAGCTCCATCAAAAGCGGAATCTCACCAAGGCTGTATTCGAAGAACACATGCGGAAGGTCCCCATTTTTTGCTTATATTTGCCAGTGTTTTTGTTTGCGAATTTCTTCAGCTGTGGTCATATATCTCCCAGTTTTATCCAGTTTTCTCAATGGATTGGTTCAACGCGTAGAACTTCAAAACCGTGGACGAGTTTTATACTTCACATGGACGGTTTCCTCAGTTTCCGATGAAATTTCACCGCTGCGAACTCCAGGTTGTGTACGATCAGCTGGACCAGATAGATGCCGAGAAGAGGTGCCTTTCTTGACGGCGAACAGCTGATGGGCGATCACCGACGGGTGTTTACTATGGGAGCCTGCACTTTGTGGATACAATCAGGAATTATGAACAACTGGTTGGTGGTTTGGAACATGGCTTTTATGACTTCCCGTATATTGGGAATTTCATCACCCCAACTGACGAACTCATATTTTTCAGAGGGGCAGGTCAACCACCAACCAGACAACAAAGATTTGCGTTTGATCGCAATGGGGATCCTGCAAAAACGGGAAAATCCGAGCAACGCAAACATTTCGTTTGAAGTGAAACATGGGAATACGTTGCCCAGAAATGCCGTGTGGCAAGGGGAATCTATTTGCAACCAGGTTTGATGGGGATCGTAGATTGTCGCCTAGCCGCCAAACGCGCCAGCCACTAGAACCAAGTTCCATATTTGCAATGGGTCTCTGCATACCGTGAAGGTTCAACGCGGACTTTAGAGACTAGCAACCAGGAGAAATTTGAAGTATCTCACAGAAAGGGAAAACGCATAAAACGCAGAAAACAGTTAAATAACATGAACATATATTGAAATAACTCGTTCTTCTGGGCTTTCAGATTTGCTGTGGAGAATCCTTGCTACCGCAAAGCATGGCGGATTCCGGTCAGCATCCAACGACTCCAACGGGTCCCAAGTCGCGTTCAGGTTGCAGCTGTCGCGCCGGGGCGGCAAGGCTTTCTTGTGGGTCGTGGCCGCCCAGTTCTCGGAAGGTGGGCACATCCAATGGGAAGATTCTATCAAGTACCCTCTGGTTATGTCAAAATAGCTATTGAAAATGGCCATTTAGTTCGTGGATTTTCCCATTAAAAATGGTGATTTTCCATAGCTATGTTAGTTTACCAGAGGATACCCTACAAGTAGGGTTTCCCTATGAAAATGATCTACACACATCTCCACGGAAATCACGTGCCTTTGGGGCATTGGGAGAGGCGAACTGACTCATCCAGGAGTCATGGCCATTTTTTTCCCGTTATGGAGTGGATGAACTTTCCAAGCCTATTCGATGGAATTACATGACAGATGCTCCACCATTTGTGAAACCAACATTATAGATACATATGCATTCTTTGGACATAATTTCAAATTTCAATAGTAGATACTTCAGCATTTGCAAACAAATGGTTTACTACATATCTATATTAATCTCTATCTCTATCTCTATCTCGATATCGATCTATCTATATATATATACACACATATATATATATATATTACTATACATACAGTATAGATTGGAAGTCCCTTCCGCCGCGCGTGAATTTTGATGGCTCCAGTGCTGCAACTTCCGAGGCGGACCGTCTACGTTTGGCTGCTGCGGTGGCCAGTGCTGCAAGCCATTTGTCCGGGCGACTCAGGGAGCACTGGGAATCTTGGACCGTTGAAACAAGATTTGGGGGAAAAAACCAGCAGAACATAGGAAAATATGCCAGATTGGTAGGAAAATATGCCAGATTGCTAGGAACATATGCCAGATTGGTAGGAAAACATACCAGATTGGTAGGAAAATATGCCAGAAACCCTCGTTTTTTTTGCCCCAAAGATTGAGGTTTCTCTGTAAGAGTAACAGCACCTATCAATAAGAATGCGTGTGAATGTTTGTCTGGCACATGTCTGGAACATCTTCGCGCAACAAAGAGTACTTGTTAACCAGCAGGCAGTGGATATGTTCGGCAACAAAGATTTCAGTGACAACAGTAACATCATCAAGAAGCATGAACATATTTTAGGGGGATATCCCCTTACATAGCCCTTATATAGGCCTTATATATGGTAGGTACCTCCATATGACCGCCATATGGCTTGCAAACACCGGGATCTAGACGAGAAATTCATTGGCAACCCTGGGGAGCTCCCGATGGACCCATTGTGGATAGAGGCTAACATGTTGAACCTTGGAACCGGCAACTTTTGCTTCTTCTTCTTAGAGAATGGAGAAAATCATCCAGCTAAGGGGGTCCTTCATCTTGAATCGTATTGGACCCATCATAGGGCATCCGATATCCCATGTTATCCACTGGTGATCATTTTCCCAATAGAAATAGCCGTTGTTGGGAGATATCTCATCCGAAGGAACTGCTGGATGTTTCTCCCTAGGCGGAGCTGTTTGCTGGGGAGCCCTCATCTGAACTTGAAGTTGTCCAGTGTGGTTTTCGACAGGCTGGGGTTGGTTAAAAGGGCACGCTCGGGTGCCGGGAAAAAACTTGAACCATCTAAGGTTGAGGCGGCAGGGTTTGTCCCAGGGGAAGTTTCTGGTAGGAATCGGTCTTGGTAGGAAAGTGTACCCGATTCCAGAGGACATGCCATACGGCATACGATGGGATTTCTATGGAACTGAGATGCCATTGGTTGTGACTTTCGTGTTGAATGGTGGGTAAATCTGGACACTGCGTGACAAACATTTGGGTTGAAAGCTTGCAGAGATGCGGCCGAAACGGGAGGCCATGCCACTGTCAAACGGAATTCTATCAATCCCATCCCCATAAGACAAGAGCAAATCATCCCCAGCATCACTCAGCCAACGTTGAGGCGAAACACGGCATGTGTTTGACGATCGGCTCAACCCACGGCATTTTTTTGGTTTGTTGAATCCTATAGCAAGTTGAATCATGTTGAATCCCCTTTGATAGTTGGCAATTTCCTTGAAATTCCCAGGCAAATTTCAAAGATTAGTTGACCATGGGGCCAGGACAGGGCAGGTGAAACTGGCCGACCTGGGCTTTGAAGGCGAGAGACGTGTGGGAGAGGGATGAAGATTCAGGTTTGCTGACATCAGGGTGCCTGGAATTTTGAGCCACTGCAATAGATAGATAGATATTAGATTAGATTAGATTAGATTAGATAGATGGATAGATAGATGGATAGATAGATAGACAGATAGATTGATAGATGGATAGATAGATGGATGGATAGATAGATGGATATTGGTGGCTAGTTAGATGCATAGATAGAGAGACAGATAGATCGATGGTCAGATAGATAGAAAGATGGAAAGATAGAGAGATAGAAATATAGGAGGAAAGAAAGATAGATACACAGAATTTATCATAATCATACACCTTTTCCTCATTCTCAAACTTCAACCAGCTGCCACCCTGGTTATAACTAGTTCGGTACATCCAATCTTTTCGACCTTTCTCAGGCGCAAGCTTCGAAGGCAAAGGGGACCTGCAGCCTGGGGACTCAGATGGTCACAGGCCGGTTTCAACAGGATCATTCCTCAACATTCCTCAGGGATGCCATATGCCATGTGGCCTGCATGTGGCGGCACTTCCGACTTCGGAGGGGAGATCTAACATCTTGAATCCGTCCCAGCTATAAAGAGTGGGTAAACCTGGATTTTTGTAGGATAGGTTCACTTTAATCATATGTTTTTTTGAACATATTTTTGATAACCAGCTAGCACACTGTTTTTTTCCCTTATTCTTTGTTTGGTGAACATCCAAGATCAGCATTCTATCATGTTCATTCATTTTCAAGAAGTTTGTTATTCATGGATATTCATGGTTTATCCCCAACTTACCAGAATTTTCACCAACTTATCCCCAGAATTTTCACCAACCTAGCCCCCAAAATTTTCACCAACCTATCCCCCAGAATTTTCACCAGCCTATTCTTGCACCTCTGCCATGGCCTTCCGCGTGGGACGCTCCGTGGGGCAGCCATGGGATGGCCACCCTTCGGCTACAGCACCTGGATGCGGCTGCGAGGTGCGCCGATGGCAGCGTGCCGGCCTACTACCTGCGGGAGGGGCCATCGGATGTGTCACTTGGAAAAATTGGGGGGAAGAACTGGGTGAACATAAAGACGTGGGTAGAATGTAATGAACTCTATTTTTCGCCGATTGTTTCAGTGGAACATGATAGAACAAAGCAGCAAAGCATGAATCCGTGGGGTTTTGTGCCATCGAAACACTGGGGGTTTGCCTCGATTTTCCCTCACCGGATCCAGGTTTTTGATCTGGCTGCAGGGCGGGGGCGATTGCAGCACTAAAGAATCCTGCGATGAGAGGTGCGGCCTGGGGTGCCGACGCAGCTTGTAGCGGGGAGATGGCCTGGGATGTTGGATGTACCCTCCCTATACAATTAACATTCATTCACGGCGAACATGTAGAAGAAATAACCATTTAAGTAGATCATTTTTCGAGGAAAACCATGGGTTGTACACATCTATGTTAGTTTGCTGGAGTGTAATTTGTGTCAGAAATAGATGCAGGGATGTCATAATGTAGAGTTTCCAGGGAGAAGACGATGGAGAGGGAGAGTCTGCTGTCTCGCCAACAAAAAAAGAAGACTCTAGGATGTAGTCATGGCATGTCATGGCTGTGCGAGGCAACATCAATGGAGATGGTAACTTTTCATGTTTTCTTCTCAGCTCAAAACTGGGTCTGATTGAAGTTTTCCGTACAACGGAGGCACCCTCTGGCAATCAAACATGGGAATTGGCAGTCCCCTATGAATAAAGGTTTTCATATGCCATATATGGGAAAATCATTCGAACTTCCTATGGACGCTTTTCAAATGCCATGTCGGTTTACCGGAGGAAAAAAAAACACCGCGGCTTTGTTTCTCCCAGACCCATGGCATCGCCAGATATCGCAAGCAGTTCCGCATGAGCAGCGCCCAATTGGAGGATGTCATCCATTTGGATGGGTGCCTTTCGAAAAAAGGCACTGATGGAGGAGTTGGCATTGATTTTAATAAATTCTAACGGCTTTTAATATGGATATTAAATGATATTAACATGCTTATAACTACTTATAACCAACAATTTCTATGACATTTGGGCCTGTCTGATCGTGTCATCTACGGATCATGCTAGCTAGAGCTGTCTATATCCTTACCTCCGTTCGTCCGTTAGATGTACCGATACGATATCTGATCGCTAGGCGAGTAAAAGGCACGAAGTAAGAGGCATTGCATCTTGATAAAGACTGCGTGCAAGTTGGGCAGGTTCGAGATTTCAAAGCACAAAAAGAAGCCACTGCAGTTCCCAGAAAATCAAGGCGAAAGGGCCCAAATCAGAAAAGGTCCTAAGATTTGTTCACATGAAACGGTTGCTTTGGCATCAATTTTTTGTTGCAACCCCCGTGAAAGGCTTTCACGGGGTTGCAACAAAAAATCGATGCCAAAGCAACCGTTTGAAATCGCCATTTCTCTTTTCCTATCCATATTTTTCTGATCGACATCTCCGAAAAACTTGGATGATGGGAAGACAGGAAACAGCAATGGCACAATGGTCACATCCGTCGTTTCCCGCAGCAAACATCCTGAAACGAAATCCTTTGATACTCCTGGCCAGGGCCCCAAGGGCCTCCAATGGAGCCTGTGAACTCCGAGGATTTTCTCAGATTCCGAGAGGCAGAATCCCTTCTTCGCCCGTTCCACACGGGTCTTCGTGCCATATTGCAGCTGGGCACACATTGCAGGCTGGAATTTATCAACCACTTGGAGGACCCCATGAATGGTATAATATGATATTAATATGGTACAGCCATGTAATGTATGACCTGGGGGTCTTACTAGTCAGGGTTATTAGGCAGTTAAGCTACTAGGTGGAATGATCCCAAAAAAAGCATAGATGGGTGGAATGGGATCAGATTCAAGGAGGTATCACTTGAATCACATGGCAGGATGACATGTTTGGCAGTAAAAATCAGTGGTAGGATCAAGATGTTGCAGTTTTTTTTTTTAAGGATGTTATTCACATATTTTTTTGTGGACTAAGCTGCTTGGGGTCCACCGAGGTACTTCGGACTCCTGGTTAGGAAGGCGCACTGAAAAGGTGCATGGCTACTACTTTCAGGCGCGAACACCGGACAGGAAGTAGTTTTCTTTGACAGATGCTCAATGTCATATGCGAGTTGTTTAGCTGAATGCGCCCCTGACATTTTTTGGTATATAGTATTATATACAAGGTGGGGCCCCCGTTCGATAGCTAAGTTGGTGAACATAACTCCAATAACTATGGTTTATGGTACGCAAATAACTATAGTATTCATGGGGTTTATAAACCAACAAACATCACTGGGGGGCCCCACCCAAGAGCCCCCCTATCCAAGGGCAACATGGAAAGGCTTACAGCTCTCCACTCCAAGAGATGCCGGTTTTTACATGGTTTTACACCACAAACTGGTATGTAATTGGTATGTATACAGTATGCAACTAGGCAGTTGGAACACACAATAGTCACTATTCTAAGTTCGTTTTTGGTGAGTTAGCTTTCCAACTTAGATAGGTAAAAACACAAGAAGCAGATTTGCAAAACAATACTACATCCTAAGCACTTCCCAATGTAATAAGCTCTATGTATTTTTTAATCCTAAGTCCAAGTACTTTTCCATTTAATAAGCATATAACAGTTGGATATGGTATATCCTAATGGATATATGTAACCTATTTCATACTATTCAATGATATATCCTAAGTCCTAAGGATTTAATGGATATATGTAACACCTATATGTACTTCCCATTCCCTATTTCACAGAATTGGATGATGGGAAAAAAAACAGGAAAACCGTATATTTGATGGTAAAAACCATGGTTTCCTGTAGATTTTCCCTTGAACCAATCCATTGACTATTTCACCAACCATCCACCAACCTCCACCAGGGCGCGCAGATCCTGACGGCCGTGCTACATGAGCTGCGTCCCTTGCTGCGCCAGGCGCGGCTGGTGGTGCTGGGCGGCTGCTCCGCCGGCGGCCGCGGGGCCTTTTACAACTTGGAGCCGTGGCCTGGGGCGGGGGGTGGATGGTGGGTGGTGGGTGGGGGTTGGGGGTTGGGGAGGCCCTGGGTAGTCCCAAAATGTGCATGTGCAATCGAAAAATATCCATCAGGTTCAGTTTGATGTGAGTTTTTCCTATTCGGAAATGGTCCGTTCTTTGGGTCTCTTCCATGTCGGGTAGACCTTTCGGTGTTCGAAGGTCTCATCTCTCGTGGTTCCCATGGTGCGACCATGACATGCTAAGCCAAGGACCGTTTGTGCGCGATGCTGCCAGAGACTTCAACCCACTGTGGCTTCGCAAGATTGGGGCGCCTATGGCGTGGGCCAGTGGGCCAGTCAAGGGCCTGTTGGCAGGTCACGGGGGGGGGGCATATTTTCTTGTACCCTCTGGTAAACTAACATAACTATGGAAAATCACCATTTTCAATGGGAAAATCCACTATAAATGGCAATTTTCAATAGCTATGTTAAATTATCAGAGGGTATGCAGAGTCCCAACTTTCATGTCTTCCCAATGCTTTCGGGAGGTTGTCCCTTCACCACTGCGTCAACCCATTTTTTTTCGATGTACTTGGGCTGATGGAGGCCCAACCCCAATTTTCACAACCAATAGGTACATGATTGGAAGTGGTGCCCCCCTTCCAAGCACTATTCTGTAGTACATCAGGGAATCACCCTGCCAATGTTGAAACCAACCAATCTTTACTCCATTTTCAAAGTGGTTAATTAATGTTAATTATGGTTATTGGCTAATCTACATACATTTTTAGTCGTTGATTCCCATTAAAAAAGGTGTACCCAACTACGAACAAACATGACCTCACTTGAATCCTGTCAAGATGATGGCTACATGTTTCCCATCAATTTGTCCATAGGTTTCAGGTAGCTTTCCCCACCAATTTCCCCATAGTTTTCATGGTTTTCCACCAAAACGACTCTGGTTTTCCATTGGTTTGCCATGCATTTTCTCCCAAGCACTTCGTTTTCCCCTCCTTTTTCCATGGTTTTTCGGTGATTTCTCATGGTTTCTCCACGGTTTCTCCACGGTTTCGGTGGTTTTGCGGCCCCAGGTCGTGGCCTGCTGGATGCCGCCTGGTGGCTGCCAGATGCCGGACCCTTGGAGGAGGGTGCCCGGCGAGGTGTGACGCTGTGGCAGGCGGAGCTGACGCCCTGCGAGTTAGGCGCTGGGAATGGATGGGTTAACAGGTTATAGTTAATGGATGGTTTATTAATCCATATATCCAGAAAGCCATATATTTACAGATCATTTCCATATATCCCATATGATGTCAACCCTGGATTAATAAACCCCGTTTACGGCTGTTCAATTGGGAGGGTACCATTTAAGTATTAGATGACATGACTATTGGAGGAGTACCCCCCCAATTAATAAACCATGGTTTATTAATCTGGGGTTGACATTAATGGTGGTTTAATGGGATTTAACCAACAAAAATTGTGATTTTAATGGAATTTACCCTCTGGTAATTTGTTACAGTTTGCTATAGAAAATGGCCATACAGTAGCTGAATTACACATTAAGAATGTTGATTTTTCATAGCTATGTTGGTTTACCAGAGGGTAAAAGATGTTAATAGACCAAGGATTAATTAATAGGTTAATAGATTTTACAGAGTCCGTACATTCCCCATAATACTAGCTATGATTATTAACAGGTCTGTAACCATAAGTTACCCATAGGTTAATAGGTTAATAACCATCGTTCATATTATGGGGAATGTTAATAGATTATGGGGAATGTTGATAGACCAATGACTAATGCTAAATAGTCTTTACATATAATAGATTTTGAACCAGTGGTTAATAGAGAAATGGATAAATGATAATAGGTTATTATTGAACATTGACATTATCCATTATATATTATCTATTATCATAATTATATGTCTTTTACCTTTTGTTTTGTTATATAGTATTGTTTTTGACCAATCAATGGTTATTTACCAATATTTAGCAATAAACTATCGTTATTTACCAGCCATTATTATAATATGTGATTATTAACCATTGGTTATATAAATATTGATATTTACCAACCAATGGTTATAATCATATTGATGATATGCTCTGATTTACGGCACTGATGATTTTGAACCAATGGTTAATAGATGATATGATAATAGATTCATTGATCTTTGGTTTTATAAAGATGGTTAGTTTCAACCATTGGTCATATACAATCTCATATAATCTATTCACCAAATATAATTTTGAACCAATGGTTGATTGTGCGTAACCTGATATAGACTGATATATATATATATATACACATTGATTTGCATATCTATATAAGGGGCCAGTATATCTAATAGAGGGTGAATGTATGCATGTAGATAGACGAAGTAAGGCAAGGTAAGGTAAAGTAAGATAAGGTAAGGTAAGGCAAGGTAGATAGATAGATTGATAGATAGATGGATAGATAGATAGATAGATAGATAGATAGGTTGATATATAACTTATCTTTGTATATTATGTGTAGAGAATTGATTATATGATAATTGTCCATTGGATTTTTTCTTCTAATACTGGTTACTGATCTATCCAGTTGTTTGATTTAAATAATGGATAATCAGCAATAATGGGTAAACTGTGTATACATGGTTAATAGGCAAATTATGCACCATTATTTACTATAGATACATCCTCTGGTAAATAACGGTTCATGGTTAATAGATTGTGAACCAATGGTCAATATAATGGTTAGTTATCTATCCAGTGGTTAGTAGGTCCCATGATTGACCTTGATCCGTAGACCTTGCATGTTCCCCATCGCAACGTTTGGAGCTAAGCTGGAATACCACGATTCCAAACACGCAAAGCTACCAAAATGGGACGGTCTTTCTTTCTTTCTTTCTTTATTTATTATTTATTATTTATTTAGACATCCCCATATTTTCTTCATGATTTTCCCATATATATATATATATCTACACCACCTTCAGCCACACCATGCCACATTCCCCATGCCACCATCCCCAAAACAAGTCATGCCTCGGCAGGCAACGAGTCGCACCTCTGTTTGTTCGGGCCCACCTGGGCACCGCACGTGCGAACGCCCTACTTGGTCCATGAAGAGCAGTTTGATCACTTCCTGCTGGGGAACAGGCCCCCAAGGGGCGAGTTTTGGGACGTTAAATCCCATCCCAGGTACAAAAAAAAGCAAATGAAACCTGTGGTGGATGTAGGGGCTTATGGATTTACAGAATCAATGGGACTATGCAATGGGGCTGTTTTATATTAGGGGGATGTGGAAATGGAAGATCCACCAAATAGATGACTTTCCCTTTAAAATGCATTTTCACTTCGTCAATATGTGTATAATTATACATTAATTACCAGTATCCCCACTACCAATATCCCCATATGAAAGACTATATGGATCTATATGGATTTATATAGTTTTTCTTTATTGATTCCTCACTCAGAATTTTAGATGCCACCAACACAAAATCCTGATTAAGTTTCAGATTTCGTCATGAATTGGAGTCCCTCTTTGGGAGGTATTTGATATTTAGCATTTTTTTAACCCCCATTCATATTAAAGATTGTTAAAGTATTTTTTTATCAGTCACCCATTCCTTTTTATCAGTTCCCCCAGTTTGGATGGTTGAAATATGATGATTTCAGGGGATCACTGATGAATTTTCTACCTCTGATTGCGAGCGAGTATTTTCTAGTGTCAGGATGGTCAACCCAACAAGGAAAGCACCATGAATTTCACGGTGAAATCTCACATGAAATCATGCTTCAACTTGGGTTTGTCTGAAAATAGGGTATATTCCCAATTATAGCCATTTAATAGGGATAATGATCAGCAAAACCATTGGGAAAATGGGGTACACTATTTTCAGACAAACCCACTTGGTTCAACCTCCATTTTTCATCACCGGTGACTCCTGGCCAGGGGCGTGCACCGCCCCGTCTTCAGCTGGTCCCACGACCAATGGCGCCGCGCCGAGACGCTACGCCAGGCGATGCGCGAAAGTTGGGAGGACACGCGGCTGCCAGGTGGGGTGGAGGGGTTGGATACATACCATCTGGTTATTTAACATAGCTATTGAAAATGGCCATAGAAATAGTGGATTTTCCCATGAAAAATGGTGATTTTCCATAGTTACGTAATAACCATTAATTATACCATCTGGTTATGACTCACATAGCCATGGAAAATCACCATGCTATTAGTAGGTAAACCATCTATTTCTATGGGCCATCTTTACCATGGCTATGTAACAAATAACCAGATGGTAACTAATACTGTAAAGACTAATATTGAACTATATCTTCAGCTTCTGATGAAAATATAAGAATGGTAAAGCCATACTATATGTAGATATATGTAGTTGATTTAGCTCAGAACCATTGAAAATCACCACTTTTAATGGGTAATTCATGGTAAATCAACTGTAACTGGGCCATTTTCCATAGCTATGTAATCCAATTTATGGGGACTGAAGATGGTTTTAACTATGGAACATGGTGGTTTAAGCATCCAAAAATGGTGGTTTCCCTAGGATTGCTTGATTGACGCTTCCCCAAGGCTATGAACAGCTGTTTTAATGAGGATCATCATCATCATCATCATCATCCTCATCCTCATCATCCTCATCATCATCCTCATCCTCATCGCCATCGCCATCGCCATCGCCATCGCCATCGCCATCACCATCACCATCACACACACATATATATATATATATTATAATTTAATATGATATAATATAATATAAAATAATATATATACATATATTCCTTCCGAGAATTATTGGGAATCCAGCTGGCAGCCTGAAGTACAATGAATCACATTTTGTTCAGGAATGATTTTGGGGAAAAACATCAGGCTGCAGACTCTTGTGACTATATAAAGACGAGGGAGCAGATACTATTTCCCCGTACGGGGCTGAAGGGGATTATCACTTGGGGTATGGCCACCCAAACCACTGGCCCCAAACCACCAGGCACTTCCTTGGCCTTCTCCGGTGCTTGCACAGACCATTGTTTCGCCGAAAGCGCTGCCTATTGGAACGTCAAGGCGGCAGGGACCAGAGGGGCCTTGGGGCCCTGCCAGCGTCGGCTGCCCTGAAAGAAACCAATTCAGCCCTGGGTAAACACAAAAGTGTCACCATTGTTGCGATAGTTAGTAAAAGCATCTGCAGCTCTCAAGCAGGTGATTTGACTTGGTGGTCTTGGTCTTCATTACGCATATCATTCAGTGCGTCTTTGGCTTTGTCGCATGGGTAGTTTATCACACACCCGTTGGGGGAAGCTCCAGGCCACATCTCATTGGTTCAACCCCCATTTGAGCCACATTTTTTTTTGTGGGGTCACCATCACCCTGACATAGACCCTGAACACCAGCCACTTTCTAAAAGTCGTTTCCCAACCCCAATAAGCAGAAGTAGTCCATACAAATGTGTTACAGTAGTTTAATCCGCTGATTCTTGAATATGTTTATTGGTGAATCGTTTGTTTTGAGTCAAACCTGGTGAATAATTCACCCTGCTTTGGGATTTTTATCCATTTGTTGTTGGGGGATACATCCCCTATTTTTTTGTTGACAAAGTAAACCCATTTTTTTTGTAAATCATGAAAACCATCATCCTGGTACTTCTGTAAATCCCAAGTTTTCTGTTTAAGGGGGATTAACATGGATTAACCAAATCCCCAAAAAAAATTCCATTATAAATCCACCATTTTTGTTGAGATAAATCCCATTAAACCACAATTTTTCCTAGTTAAACCCCATTAAACCGCCATTTTTGTTGAGAGAAATCCCATTAAACCACCATTTTTCCTAGTTAAACCCCATTAAACCACCATTTTGGTTGAAACCCACCATTTGTAGCGACGTTTTTTCTTCAGGTGAATGGCGTCAGCATGGAGCAGCTGGCGCGGCAGTGGCTCTCCGAAGGCGGCGTTGCGTCGATGACGTCGGTGATCGAGACCTGTCGCTTGGTTTTTTTGGTGCTTCAAGGGACCAAAATGGGATTTTCATGGGATTTTCCGTATCCAAAATGGTGATTCAATTGGATTGTATGGTGATTGAACGGTGATTAAATGATGATTTTTCATGGGATTTAATAGGTATTTAGCTACCAACATTGGGGATTGAATGGGATTGAATGGAGATAATGAGGATACAATATCTTTCTTTTTTGCTCCTCTATATGAAAGTGTAGGACTACAACTACAAGTAGAGCTATAACCACAGTTGCCGCTTTTGGTAAGATTGGATGGATGGACGGAGATGGAGATAGATTTCTGCCGGAGGCCTTCCAGGGGTAAATCTGTTGCAAAGCTAAACAAAGGAAGCACATTGGTACTCCTTTGGGCAATGGATCCATTTGGTGCCACTTTAGATCTGCCAATCTTCCAGCAGTTTTTTGGAGAATTTCGATGATTCGATGATTGTAAGATTGGGGCTCCGTGTCCTCGAAATGGTCAAACCGCAGATGTTCCTAGCTCCAGGCAGCGTGTCTCACGCAAGCTGAGTATAGGACTCCAGGAGGCCTTTTTTCTCCTGGGGAGAAGCATTATCCTCTTGTATGCAGTTGCTCATTTATCTCATTTCATTTTGGAGCATTTCATTCGTCATTTCTACTCTTAAACCATCCATTTCTTGCGGTTCAGTACAATGTGGTTCTTTCCCTCATTGCCCTAGCGGCCCTAGCAAAACCTTGGAGTCACCTATCTCCTCTCTTCTCCCCAGCATTTTGCAGTTTTCCATGAGTTTTCCTCATGATCTCTGGGTCATGTCCACATTTTCGCAGTAATTCCCCACCTTGTCCATGGTTTTCTATGTTTTTTCCTGTTTTTTCCATGGCATTTCCATGGTTTTCGTTGGGATTTTCACCACAAAATTTGCACCGTCAACACGGACCGCCACGACCTTCACCCCGGGACCTTTCGGGATGCCCCGCCCCTTCACAGGTGAGATGCCCAACTGTTCTGCTGGATGTCCCTTTGCCCCTTGATCTCATGAAGCCTGATGGCCTGATATGCTGTATATCTGGGTGGTGGTTTCAAACATGGCTTTTATTTTTCAAGATGGTTGAAACTGCCAACCAGATATAATATGTATATATAATATATATATACATATATATATATCTATTATCCTATATGTTGGGGAGTATCGCAATCCGTCATATCCTATCCGTTATCATTGATGACTATATAGTCATTTGAAAGGGGTTCTAAGTTCGAAACACCAAAATATATGGATAGTTTGGTGGATCTCCTTTGTTCTCCGTCATATCCTATGATATCCTATGAAATATTGGGGATGGTCAAAATCCATGATTGGAAATCCGATTGATGATGATGATGATGATGACGACGATGGGTGGTTTGAAAACCGATTATTTGGTGGTTTGAAAACCGATTATTTTTCTCCAAAAACAATAAATCAGACATATAAATATAGACACATGAGGTGCAGCATAGACAACGTAGATCCATCTGGATTCACAACGTCGGGACGAGACGATTTGTCACGGCTGATCGTTCCCCGTGTTTTTTCGTGTTCATCGAGACCACCTAGGCTGTTGGGACATCGCAAGTAGATAACTTACGCGATTTAAGACATGGAGCCCTAAATATGAGCCCATAGAATCATACATAATCATCATAGGATATCATAGGATATCATAGGATCATATGCTTTAAAATTTCATAACGTTGCCATTCTCGCTATTCCGAGAAGCCCTGGCAAGACATTCTGCCTATTCTTCGATGGATGACGAATTACATATGTGGTTAACTTTCTGGTTCTTATTCTTCTCAGCTGAAATCCTTCCCAATTGCTGGAAGAATTCATGGAAAATCCCATCCCCTGATGAATAGATCCAAATCGACATTGGTGTCGTTAGGGGCTTCAAAAACATGAACCGGGGAAGTGATATTACGGACACGTGGAATCATATCACCAGTTCTATCTGGGTACATCTACCCCATTTTCAGTCCAAGTTCTACGCCCGTAAACAATGTTTTTTTGCTATTCCCCCTTTGGGTGAATGTTTTTCAGGAGGGTTGAAGCCACCAAGCAGTATTTTATTCATGTCATTAAAAGATCCTTTGCCATTTTCATCATTTTCCTTATCCTTTTAGATGATCCTACAAGGAACCTTTGCTCCACGAAGTCATTCTGCTGGCTCTGGCCGCGCTGCTTTTACTCTGCTGCCTCTGTGGAGCCCTATGTCTTTGCCGGCGGCGGAAAGCGCGGTCGTCGAGACCGGTGGAAACTGCGGGGCAGTGGGCGGTCATTGGAGCTGTAGATGTGGATGATGATGCGAAGGAATCCTAGCAGTCCTAGCACCAGTTGAATCAATTGAATCCTGGAAGTGAGGGAAGTTGATGGATGAAGTGGCCACCGTTTGGGGCAGATTTGCTGCAGCTGGAAGTGTCGGACTGGGACCACGGCATTTGCCCTGGCGCTGAGAATGGCCGAGAATATGGCCTTCAGGGACGCCCGAAAGCTACCTGGCTTCTCCAGGAGCTGACGCATTCCGCAAATTAAAAAGGCGGACATTGGACTCCAATAGGGGGGTGTACTTGTATGTCTATGCCACTTCCAAGGCGAACAAAATGAAAAGGATGTCAAAAGTCAACGGAACTCCTTTGATTTTCCCGATCTGTGATGGAAACGTACGGTCTGTGAGTCTCTTTGCCGCAACCCCATGGCTTTGCTCTTCAGAACGGCCGTATTCGCCTGAGGAGCAAGAAGGCTCAGGCCCGGGGTCATTTGTTGGGATGATCCCCTCACAGTGACCTCGCAACTTGGGAATCATCCAGGATGAAATTTCCTATTTCTAGTGATTTTTCTGGCTCGTAGATGACTGTTAGATGACACAACATGCCAAGTTATCATGAATTGATGAATACGGATAATATGGCGATGGCTCAAAGCCAGTTAGTCCCACCTAAATACCCAGTAAATTATTATAAATTATGTGTCTCCCTCCAGCCCTGGGTATAAACAGATTGTGACCCAGTTCTGGCTCATGAAATGGAAGAACCCGTCGAAAAAGCAACAAGTAATACTTGATTTATTCATTATGTAATTATGTATTCTAATGTCATGGGATGATGCAATAAAAAGGGTATGGTATTGCCCATATGGGGAGATGACTATCCATAACAAGCCAGGCTTTTGATCCATAGCCATATGCAATTTGGTAAAGCAAAATAGCAATGGCAATGGGAACTGCTCCATTTTAAACAAGATCATCGAGAATTGGGCATAGATTCCGGATTCGACCTTGCCAGGTTTCTATTTACCGACGGTATGTAAAAGCCAAGCGGCAACTGATACAAGTGTGTTTCCTACTTGCCTGCAACCAGAGCAATTTAATGGAGACCCCATGCTGCATCCCAGGGTTGATGAGCCGGGGTGCACAGCATTCACTGACATCAGGAATCATGCCCTTGGTCAATTAAAAGTCATTGACATGCGGTTCAGTGATAGCCACATTTTTTTTCCGACGTTTCTCTGCTTCGGGGAATCGCAAGAATCCTGAGATGATGGGGAATGACTACGTCACTAGGTCAACTGGATTTCTCCAGCCTTGGGCAGATTTCAACTTTCCCACATCACCTTTGAATCAACGCAGGGATGATTTTTCTACGGGATATGCATCATATGGCTATGGATCAATACCTATACATACCATTTTTAGGGGGATGAACATCCATAAATCCCAGCTATTTTGATGTGAACTACAGGGGTACTATTGGTTTTGACACACTGCCATATGATCACCGCCCGGTCATGGCTCCATGGCTTCGCGGCTTCACCTTTTTTGGACCAAGCCCTTGCGCCGGGGCCTCCGCCAAATTGTAGCACCGTGGGGAGCCTCGACAGCCTCGACGTGGCATGGCTTCGCCCAGAGCTGGGGGCCCTCAGGAGATGTTGGATGGCAAATGGGTTGGTTTGCACAAGCTGAATGAGTTGGTACCCTCTGGTTATGCCAAACATAGCTATTGAACATGGCTATTTAGTTCGTGGATTTACCCAGCTATAAAATGGTGATTTTCCAGTTCGCTATGTAAACGTTTACCAGAGGGTAGGTGGTAGTTGGTTGTCCGAAATCCTCTTTCGGGTTCCAACCGTTCATGTCGATGGAGCGCTTACAGCACGCTGTGGCTGTCTCTGATTCTGGTGAAGTCCGCACGCACTTGTTGGATCTTGTTGGTTTATTTCTCGAATTCTCAGTTGGCTCTACTATAGTCACATTGTTGGTCAAAAGTACCCTCTGGTAAACGTTTACAGTTTGCTATGGAAAATCACCATGCTATCAATGGGTAAATCCACTATTTCTATGGCCATTTTCAATAGCTATTTAACAAATAACCAGAGGGTATATGTCCAAGCCATTTGAAGTCAATTCCCACTTATAGAGTTGGTGGTTTTCGCGAAACTAAAAAAACCATCAGCGATGGCCCTTGGCCCCGGTTTCTGAGGTCGGGAGTCGAGGCGATAAGGATTGGAAGGGTTGTCGAGCGAAAATATCAAGCTGTGTCAGCTTGATATTTTCTCCATTCATTTTGTTGTCAAATTGGATGTGCAAAGATATGATATACTTCTGATATGATATACTGATATACAGTGATTGATTTCCTCATGAATGATTTTCATTGGGAGGGAAGGTCTTTTTAGGGACGTCCCATCCCATCTGATGGTTTCGGTCCTTTTCAAGGAGGCCTCAGAAATCCTCCTGAGCGTCAGTAGCTGGCAGGGCTCCCAAGACAGCTTTTTCTGCACTGGGAAATGGCCCCACTGGGTGTATTGTTTTTTCATGTTTTTTCGTAACCACACGAAAATTGTGGGCTGTTGTGAAGGATGGGATTCCAGTGATCATCTGGGAGTCAGGTGGGCCATTTTTCAAACGACCCACCTACACACCACCTGGACACAGACATTTTTCTACCATGGCTTTTCTTCACGCGCGCGCGCGCGTGAGGTGTCTCTGTTCGGTGGGGATGATGGTTTTCAACAAGCTGTCGGTGGTGCATTTTCCTGCCGTGCCCGGGGACCCATTTTCGTTGGATGGCGATGCGATGGATGGCGATGTGTTTCACCATCCCCAGGTGGGAAAAACGGAGAGAACGGGGGATCTAATCCCATCTCCCCACCATCTGGTAAACATACAAAAAACTATGGAAAATCACCATTTTTAATGGGTAAAATCCACTATAAATCACCGTTTTCAATAGCTTTTTGTATTGTTTACTAGAGGGTAATATGAAACGCCCTGAAAATGGTTCCAAATATGTCGAAATCCCCAACATCCACCATGCTTGCTGCGGACGTGTTTAATATGAGGGGAAAAGAATCGAAGGTTCGCCAAGAGTTTATGGTGGGCCAGAGTGGTAGTTATATCTAAATTAGATATTTGTATATGTATGCATATATATATATATATATTATATCGTATATATAGATATGTGTGTGTGTGCATGTGTATATGTATATGTATATGTATATGTATATGTATATGTATATGTATATGTATAATATATATATATATATGTAGTTAATGATAGTTCCAGCATGGAAGGTTACAACAACAAAAATGGAAGGTTACAATTCCAGCCAAGTATAGATAACATACGTGATTTACATAGATAGATATGACACACACACACAGAGCACATGTATAGATATAGGCTAATTATGGATATACCCTCTGGTAAACGTTGACACAACTATGGACAATCGCCATTTTCAAATGGTAAATCCACTATAAATGGCAATTTTCAATGGCTATTTTGACATAACCAGAGGGTAAATCCCATCTAGAAATCACCATTTTTGTTGATTAAATCCCATTAAACCACCATTAAACCACCATTAAACCACCAGTTGGGGTTTTGTCGAAGATTCATCCCACATCGGCTCGGTTAAAAAAGGTGCGTCGTCAGCTCTTCCCCCCGTCGTTGTTCTTTGGTCGAAGCGGTCGAAGCCATGGGCCGCCGACCAGCCAAGTGCTACCGCTACAACAAGCGCCCCGCAGTCCGTGGGAAATGGTGACGAAGGAAGAAAAAATGGGGATGTACCCTCTGGTAAATAAACATAGACCCTGAAAATCACCAATTTTTAATGGAAACTAGTCTTCCAACCCCTATCTGCTAGGGATGTTAATTTACCAGAGGGTAACATTGATGTAACCGTATATCCTCCAGTGTCAAGGATGGCAAGAGGAAATCCGATATCCTTCTTGTCCATGCACTTTGAGGATACCGATGCCTATTGTATCAACCAAGCTCCTTCGATCATATGGTCACTGGCAGCATAAGATGCAACAGCGGCTCCCCAGAAGTCGCTTCACCGAGGAACAAACCCTATCCCAAGACCCGCTACTGCCGAGGTGCGATGACGGGGGAATGACAGGTTCAAACATGGCCTCGCTGAACATCACTGGATCCAAAACTCGTCAGAAAGACCATTATTGAAACATATATCTCATCTCTTGCTGACAACTGCGCAAAGAACTCAAGATCCTTGACACTTAAGGCCACTTAAGGCCACTTAAGGCCACTTAAGGCCTATAGGCTTGAGGTGGACCTGTGGCACTGTGGGCCCCTGCTGATTCGGCCCATTTTTCAGGTGTGCCCGACCCCAAGATCCGCATCTTCGATGTGGGCCACTTGGTGAACTGGACCCGGCATGATTCTCCCATGAAACCAGCAAGGGCTCACGAGCACTGGTACTGTAGATATCCCAAAGTTGGTGCAGGTACTTGGTCTCCAGTTCTCAGGGAAAAAAAAAACGAAACCAGCATGTTTCATGGGATCCAGTTCCAGTGGTGAAATCCCCATGTTTGCCGGTGAAAAATGACCCGGCTTCTGCCGGGTTCCGCCATTGTGACCTAGCGTTTCCCCAGGAAAGAAGAAGATGCCCTGCGACGAGTTCCCGGCCGCCGCGCACCTGGTCTGCGACGAGGATCAGCAGTTGACGGCCGAGGCGCTGGAGGCCGCGCGTATTGCGGTGAACAAGCGCCTTGGACGCTGGGGCTGGGGTGAAGAACGTCGTTTTTTTGGTGAAAAATTGGGAGAGGGTGATACGAAGTGATAGATATTGGCAGAGATGGTGTTTTTTTTTTGGGGAGAGGTGCTTGTACTTTGCCATTGGGGCTATCTAGCGCTGGTTGCAGCGGTTGCAGCGGTTGCAGCTAGCCATGGGTCAAAATCAACCACCCCAAAGACGGGCTTAGAGGCGACTGACATTGCGCTGAGGTACATGGCGACCAACGCTGGTAAGGACTCTTGGCGAAGCTCCAGGGATCTCCGGCGTTTCTGAAGATATCAATTGGTTGCTACGTCAAATGATGTTTGCCACGGGCCATGTAGTACTGAGCAGTGGCAAACCCTGATCGAAAATCGGAGGCATCTGCACCTTCCATACTTTTTCCTTCCATTCAAATACCCATTGGTCGCCTCCATCGACACTGAGGATTTCTTTCACATTCGCTGCTGGGCGAAATGACGTCGTGTGGCGATGTAGCCAGTGGATTGCACAATCAAAAAACACCAGTGTATTGCAAAGGTATGCAAAGGTAACGTCCCAAATGACGTGATTTTTTTCGAGGGACTGCATCTACACTAGTTAACTAATCAACTGATGGTTTTGTCATTCCTGGCCTTTTATTGGCAATATCACTGTCTTGGGTGGTTGAATGGTTTGATTGTTTGGCAAGTCGCTTGAGGGGGAGATTGCTGTAGCATTGGGACACCATGCCATGTTCCTGGGAGCATCATCGAACTAAATGGGGAATTGTCCAGATGTAGCCATGTTTGATTGCCAGATTTGCCACACCTGATCTGAAATGATCACCAATCCTGATTTATATACGGTACGTGTACATCTTCGGGTAGGTTGAGGATTCCAGGATAGTAAACCCCAAAGGTTTGCTGCGAAGTTTCCGAATCGATCCAATGAGGATGTTGTAACGAATCATGTGGTAAACCCAATGGTAAACTAGGACAAACATGGATAAACTCCTTTCTGAGGTTGGCCTTCAATATTTGCCCACATGGTGAAAGTGGTTCAATGCGCTTTGGACTGTTGCTTTGCCCCATCACTTTAAGAATCTTTCTGCCACTTGAGGTATTCGCCCTCATCCTTTCAACGTGTTGCGCATCAACAAGACCTTGCAGCCCGGCCTGAAGACCTATCCTTTGCGTCACTTCAAGGGCAGATAGGCATGGCACCAGTTCCATCTTTTTGAGAAAAAGCGATAGCCTCAAAATGCCTATGGAACATCCATAAAACATGAACATCAGCTGAGGGTCACCCATTACAGGATCATTCTAATCATGTTGGAATAATATATTGTATAGATATCCTCAATTATACTCTATATGAATGTATATGATGTATAGTGTTATCACTTATCACCATTAATTTTCCCCTATATATATAATGATTATGATTATACGGATAATCTCCATTCATGGTAATAGTAACAATAATAATAATCATCAATTACTATTACTCTTATCATCAATTATTATTACTAGTGGCAATTACTAATAGTAATATTAAAAAAAGTACCATCTGGTTATTTAACATAGCAATGGAACAGCACCATTTTTAATAGGTAAACCATCTATTTCTATGGGCCATGGCTTCCATGGCTATGTTAAATAACCAGATGGTAATAATATTCATCATCAATTACCCTCTGGTAAACGTTTACATAACTATGGAACATCATCATAAATTTAATGGGAAAACTCACGAACTAAATGGCCATTTTCAATAGCAAACTGTTGACATAACCAGAGGGTACCCCAGTTATAAGTTGGTTTATAAACCCCATTGTTATTATGTCCCAATTATATTGAATATTCTTCTATTCAATATGGCACCCACGATTATCATCAATGGTAATCATATTCCAGTCTAAAATTAGTGATATATCCCAGTCTATGTGATATGAAATATCAACTACCCCGTTATACTCTATATGAATGTATATTATGTATAGTGTTATCACCATTAATTTCCCCTATATATAATGATTAATTTTCCCCTATGTTAAATAACCAGATGGTAATAATATTCATCATCAATTACCCTCTGGTAAACGTTTACATAACTATGGAACATCATCAAAAATTTAATGGGAAAACTCACGAACTAAATGGCCATTTTCAATAGCAAACTGTTGACATAACCAGAGGGTACCCCAGTTATAAGTTGGTTTATAAACCCCATTGTTATTATGTCCCAATTCTATTGAATATTCTTCTATTCAATATGGCACCCACGATTATCATCAATGGTATTCATATTCCAGTCTAAAATTAGTGATATATCCCAGTCTATGTGATATGAAATATCAACTACCCCGTTATACTCTATATGAATGTATATTATGTATAGTGTTATCACCATTAATTTCCCCTATATATAATGATTAATCTTCCCCTATGTTAAATAACCAGATGGTAATAATATTCATCATCAATTACCCTCTGGTAAACGTTTACATAACTATGGAACATCATCATAAATTTAATGGGAAAACTCACGAACTAAATGGCCATTTTCAATAGCAAACTGTTGACATAACCAGAGGGTACCCCAGTTATAAGTTGGTTTATAAACCCCATTGTTATTATGTCCCAATTATATTGAATATTCTTCTATTCAATATGGCACCCACGATTATCATCAATGGTAATCATATTCCAGTCTAAAATTAGTGATATATCCCAGTCTATGTGATATGAAATATCAACTACCCCGTTATACTCTATATGAATGTATATTATGTATAGTGTTATCACCATTAATTTCCCCTATATATAATGATTAATTTTCCCCTATGTTAAATAACCAGATGGTAATAATATTCATCATCAATTACCCTCTGGTAAACGTTTACATAACTATGGAACATCATCATAAATTTAATGGGAAAACTCACGAACTAAATGGCCATTTTCAATAGCAAACTGTTGACATAACCAGAGGGTACCCCAGTTATAAGTTGGTTTATAAACCCCATTGTTATTATGTCCCAATTATATTGAATATTCTTCTATTCAATATGGCACCCACGATTATCATCAATGGTAATCATATTCCAGTCTAAAATTAGTGATATATCCCAGTCTATGTGATATGAAATATCAACTACCCCGTTATACTCTATATGAATGTATATTATGTATAGTGTTATCACCATTAATTTTCCCCTATATATAATGATTAATCTTCCCCTATGTTAAATAACCAGATGGTAATAATATTCATCATCAATTACCCTCTGGTAAACGTTTACATAACTATGGAACATCATCATAAATTTAATGGGAAAACTCACGAACTAAATGGCCATTTTCAATAGCAAACTGTTGACATAACCAGAGGGTACCCCAGTTATAAGTTGGTTTATAAACCCCATTGTTATTATGTCCCAATTATATTGAATATTCTTCTATTCAATATGGCACCCACGATTATCATCAATGGTAATCATATTCCAGTCTAAAATTAGTGATATATCCCAGTCTATGTGATATGAAATATCAACTACCCCGTTATACTCTATATGAATGTATATTATGTATAGTGTTATCACCATTAATTTTCCCCTATATATAATGATTAATCTTCCCCTATGTTAAATAACCAGATGGTAATAATATTCATCATCAATTACCCTCTGGTAAACGTTTACATAACTATGGAACATCATCATAAATTATGGGAAAACTCACGAACTAAATGGCCATTTTCAATAGCAAACTGTTGACATAACCAGAGGGTACCCCAGTTATAAGTTGGTTTATAAACCCCATTGTTATTATGTCCCAATTATATTGAATATTCTTCTATTCAAAATGGCACCCACGACATTGGTTCATATTCCAGTCTAAAATTAGTGATATACTATGTGATATGAAATATCAACTACCCCGTTATACTCTATATGAATGTATATTATGTATAGTGTTATCACCATTAATTTTCCCCTATATATAATGATTAATTTTTCCCCTATGTTAAATAACCAGATGGTAATAATATTCATCATCAATTACCCTCTGGTAACGTTTACATAACTATGGAACATCATCATAAATTTATGGGAAAACTCACGAACTAAATGGCCATTTTCAATAGCAAACTGTTGACATAACCAGAGGGTACCCCAGTTATAAGTTGGTTTATAAACCCCATTGTTATTATGTCCCAATTATATTGAATATTCTTCTATTCAATATGGCACCCACGATTATCATCAATGGTAATCATATTCCAGTCTAAAATTAGTGATATATCCCAGTCTATGTGATATGAAATATCAACTACCCCGTTATACTCTATATGAATGTATATTATGTATAGTGTTATCACCATTAATTTTCCCCTATATATAATGATTAATTTTCCCCTATGTTAAATAACCAGATGGTAATAATATTCATCATCAATTACCCTCTGGTAAACGTTTACATAACTATGGAACATCATCATAAATTATGGGAAAACTCACGAACTAAATGGCCATTTTCAATAGCAAACTGTTGACATAACCAGAGGGTACCCCAGTTATAAGTTGGTTTATAAACCCCATTGTTATTATGTCCCAATTATATTGAATATTCTTCTATTCAATATGGCACCCACGATTATCATCAATGGTAATCATATTCCAGTCTAAAATTAGTGATATATCCCAGTCTATGTGATATGAAATATCAACTACCCCGTTATACTCTATATGAATGTATATTATGTATAGTGTTATCACCATTAATTTTCCCCTATATATAATGATTAATCTTCCCCTATGTTAAATAACCAGATGGTAATAATATTCATCATCAATTACCCTCTGGTAAACGTTTACATAACTATGGAACATCATCATAAATTATGGGAAAACTCACGAACTAAATGGCCATTTTCAATAGCAAACTGTTGACATAACCAGAGGGTACCCCAGTTATAAGTTGGTTTATAAACCCCATTGTTATTATGTCCCAATTATATTGAATATTCTTCTATTCAATATGGCACCCACGATTATCATCAATGGTAATCATATTCCAGTCTAAAATTAGTGATATATCCCAGTCTATGTGATATGAAATATCAACTACCCCGTTATACTCTATATGAATGTATATTATGTATAGTGTTATCACCATTAATTTTCCCCTATATATAATGATTAATTTTCCCCTATGTTAAATAACCAGATGGTAATAATATTCATCATCAATTACCCTCTGGTAAACGTTTACATAACTATGGAACATCATCATAAATTTAATGGGAAAACTCACGAACTAAATGGCCATTTTCAATAGCAAACTGTTGACATAACCAGAGGGTACCCCAGTTATAAGTTGGTTTATAAACCCCATTGTTATTATGTCCCAATTATATTGAATATTCTTCTATTCAATATGGCACCCACGATTATCATCAATGGTAATCATATTCCAGTCTAAAATTAGTGATATATCCCAGTCTATGTGATATGAAATATCAACTACCCCGTTATACTCTATATGAATGTATATTATGTATAGTGTTATCACCATTAATTTTCCCCTATATATAATGATTAATTTTCCCCTATGTTAAATAACCAGATGGTAATAATATTCAATACAATATAATAATAATGAGTATCACCCATGGTAATATTATTCAATACCATTCTATCAATACCATTCTATGGTAATATGAAATCCCATGGTGATATGAAATATCAACTATATCACCATGGGATAATATTAACTATATCAATATATAATATTAACTATATAGTTGATTGATGGTGATATGGTAATATCAACTATATCACCCATCATCAACTACCCCATGATTATGTCACCCATCGATCCAAATGATCCAAACGATCCAAGGTCCTGCGCTGGGGCGGATCGCCTCTCCAGCGGCATGCGCGGCGCCTTCGGCAAGCCCTACGGCACGGCGGCGCGGGTGGATATCGGGCAGGCGAGGGGAAAAAAAGCACCACTGGGAGATTTCGGGATAGGATTTTTGGGGAAAACTGGGATTCTATGGGGTGTTTTGGTGATTTTTCAGGGATTTCGGGAGGGAAGGAGTTGATGTTTGGATATTTGGGGGATACAAGAAGCTGTTCATGAGAGAGGGGGTGAGATATATAATTGTAGAAATCAAGTGGAGCAAAAGGGGCGTGGATTTCACGCAAATTTCAAGTGCAGAAAGATGCATATGCAATATCCATACATATTTGTGTTTCTGAAAATTTGTTTTAGGCCAAAACAAATGATTCCTTTTTTTCAAGCCACCATTACCCTCCGGTAATTTGTTACATAGCTATTGAAAATGGCCATAGAAATAGTGGATTTTCCCACTGAAAATGGTGATTTTCCATAGCTTTTTGTATGTTTACCAGAGGGTACACAAAAGCCGCCATTTTTGGGCAGATTCTGGACTCCCCCCCCTTTGAGAACCCCTCAGTTCGGCAGGTGCTCATCTCCCTGCGCACCAAAGAAGAGAAGATCCAGTTCGCCGTCGAAGCTTTGAGGTCGCTTGTGGATGTTGATAGGATGGATGTTGAATATCAAAAACCAAGGTTATTTAGTTATTTCTTAGTAGCCTCTGGTAAACGTTTACATAGCTATTGAAAATCACTATCTTTAAGAACGGTAAATCAACTATTTCTATGGGCCATTTCTTAGCTTTTTGTGTTAGTTTACCAGGTTATTTCTTAGTAGCTTTGCAATGAACAAATGCTAGAAGGATTTGGAGACATCATTGACATCATGAAACATCGCTTCTGAAATGGTGCTGTTGTGAGTGGCTGCGTTTCCGCTGTCCATTTGCTGATGAACCCAGCCATCTCATGGGACCGGGGGACAGCTACGAGTATGGAATAGATGTAAAGTATTCACCAAAAAGATAGAGAACATGTGATTTAACATGATTTGTCACAATTTTAATAGGATTGTAGTACCCGTAGTACCCTCTGGTAAACGTTTACATAACTATGGAAAATCACAATTTTCAATGGGTAAATCACCGAACTAAATGGCAGTTTTCAATAAATAGCTATGTAACAAATTACCAGAGGGTAAATCCCATCTAGAAATCACCATTTTTGTTGGTTAAATCCCATTAAACCACCATTAAACCACCATTAAACCACCATTAAACCACCATGAAAAACCACCATTAAACCACCATCCGTTTTTCGCTGGTTTACCAACTTGGCCAGGCGTGCCAGCGCCAAGTTTGCGGGTCGGCAGAAGGTGCACGTGTCCAACAAGTTTGGCTTCACCAAGTATACCAAGAAGGACTTGGAGTATACCCTCTGGAAAACCATAGGAAAACCATAGGAAATTGGGATTTAACTACTAAAAATGGTGGTTTGATGGGATTTAATGGTGATTTAATGGTGATTTAATGGTGATTTAATGGGATATATGATGGTATACCCTCTGGTTATGTCAACAGTTTGCTATTGAACATGGCCATTGAGTTCGTGGATTTTCCCATTAACAATGGGGATGTTCCATAGTTATGTCAACGTTTACCAGAGGGTATTGTATATACAGGGCATTGGGTGTTACTAGGTTACTAGGGGTTGAACGAGGAAGGACTTTGATTTGCAGAAGATGATTTGGTATTTTCCCAGCGGTAAATCCACCGTCTGACTGGGGAACTGCGTATCTTTCTATTTTTGATGGCCCCTTTTCACAGGCGTTGCAGGAGGACCCAAATCAGTGGGCAATTTCTCCCATCAGTTGGGATGTTGAAGAGTGACAGTAAAGTGAGGTGCAGAAAAACCCTCCACAGAATTGAGATAGACGCTGAAAATAGCCAATTCTTCATGGAAACGAATCTTCCAACCCCGGACTCAGGCCCGGGTTGATCTTAATTTACTCGAGGCTACCCTTTGGTAATCGAACATAGCTATTGAACATCTATAAATGGGCCATTTTCCATATCTCAAACTACCAGAGGCTGCCATTTTGCAGGAGTACCATGACCACAAGGCCTCAGGCCGCTTGGTGCCCGATGGCACCAACGTGCGTTGGCTCTCCAGCCGTGGCCCCTTGTGGCGTTTGATCGGCCGCGAGAACGCCTAGGCCGCACCGCGAATGCCGAGGGGCGATGAATCGCACGGCAGAGTGAAGGGCGCGGGATGCAGCGAAGGAGGGAAGGCCAAAAAAAGTCGGGACGGGGCGCTGGATTTGGGGCAAAAGTCTAGGCTGCAGCTGGGCTCTTGTGGGGCAATTTCTGGGTGTCGCCCCCAAATAACTGGGATTGATGGATGTTCATCCCCCCAAACACAGTACAATTCGTAGGTTTTGATTCATCCGCATTTTGGCGGATAATTTCCACATGTTCTTTCCCGGTGCTGGGGGGTCTTTTGTCAAGCTGCCTAAGGTGCTTCCTGGTTGCTCTGCAGATGGCCTTTTGCTGCGTGGCGCTGCTCTGTTTCGCATGGAGGTGTGGTATTCATGGAGATTTTAGTCAGGGTCCGTCAACTGGGATTATCCCCGTCACTTGCTGTACATAAATGTACCAAACAAGGATTAAATAATATAATATAATATAATATATATATATATATGCATGTATGTATATATATATATATATGTGTGTGTATACATATTACATATATATATATATTCATTCACCAGCTTAGGTATAGTTAAGTTTGATCCTCTCAGCAGCAGCTTCAAACTACAGGTGGATCCACATTGGATCGATCCGAGACGTGCTGCGGTGGTCCATGGTGACGCCGTGCTTCGGCAATGTTTTTTCACCCAAAACATGGGGACAAAAAGGGCCAGGATTATATGGTTATAGTATGTTGTAGTTATATAACCATTATAATGTAACCATTATATTTATAGTTATTTTATAGTATATTATAGTTATATGATGTTATATGATGTTATATGGTTAATTACATGAAATTCCGTGAGGTGTTATCGGGAATCGGGGGGTTTATTCAAAAGGCACGTGGAAAATCATGCCAGGCATGAGCTTGAAGCTATTTGATTTCTCAGCCTTTTTGCGGGGTGATCCCCAATTGAGTGTTTTTGTTGATGGACAGTCGATTGGAAAGTCAATTTATTGTGGCAGTTTCAATGGACTTTCCAAATAACAAGTGTTTTTGTTGATGGGAAAGTGCTTTTCAACCCACGTGTTCAATTTTAAAATTATCTTAGTAAATTCATGTGAATTCTATCTTGCAATCTAAGATGCCTGGCAACCGCGAGCGATGGTGGCCAGGCTCAGAATCAAATACCCTGATCGATGTACGTGAATCCGAGGTTTTTTAGTGGAATGCTGCTCACCTCAATGACTCTTGGATGACATGTAGGGTTCGGGTGTGGCATTCCAAGGGATAGAGGGAGCGGGCTTATTTGGGTATTAGATCCATCACACTTTATCATTCTGGTGCTTTTTCCAGCCCTGAGGATGTTTGGAACAGCCCACACTCAGCCAACATCAGAAAGTTCCACCTGAAATCAAGTGAATCAAGTGCCACACTTTGCCGCCCAGGTTGGCATTGAAGAATGCCCCGATGTCACTGGTGGTAGTGCTGCGATGCCTATCTCCAGCCAGGGCACCCAGAGACAGACCAAGCTGTCGCTCCGATTGGCTTCTTTTCTTGTGGCCAATCATATGGTTTTGTCGGAAAACATGAACCAAAAAGGCCGGTTTCATCTATTTTCATAGGGAAATGATGAGGCTGCAAATTATATAATAAATAAATAAATAAATATATATGATGATAAATAAATAAATCAATAAATAAATATAAATATATATATATATATATGAGAGTTTGGTGTTTTCGCATGTTTTCGCCTAAATTTTGAGGTGTCACCCCTTAAATTCTATGGTAAACCTGGTAAACCCAATGGTTGCCTCCAAGTGGGCTCGGCACAGGTGGCCGGCCTAGTGGTGGAAAGCTTCTACCCTCGCCCCATACAGGTGCGGAAGTGGAGGGGTGGAGGGTGGAAGGGAAGTGAAACCCATTAATTATCATCAATTATCATTAATTATCATTAATCAGCTATTGATATATCATTAATTAACTATTGATATATCATATATCATCATATATCTAACTACCGTAAGCCCTATTTTATTATAGTTAGAAACCAACAAAAATCAGTTTCCGCCATGGCATCCAACAATTGATCACCTTAAAAGATCGCCTTATGGAAGCATCCTTGGCGCCGTGGCGCCAGGTTGGAACATCTGGTGGGTTACACGGTTACGTACTAACTATGACAAAACGAATCTGAAACTGTTTCCAGATTTTTTTTTAATGGTAGGACATTTTACACAGAAGCTATATATATTTGATGGATTTTGATGGGTAAAGATCAGAATTGCTATGGTTTCCTCAGGAGAAAAAATCCGATGAATGGCTCGATCTTCCACAGTGGCAGGTGAACGCCGGAATGCTGGGCTCCATCTTTCTGATGCTGGCAGGTCACAAGAAAACCTGGCTGACCTGGCAAAAAGATCAACCGAACCTAACTGACCTGGCTTTAAAAAGATAGGGTTTACCTGAAGAAATTTGGGTCAATGGATTGGTTTCAAGGAAAATTTACAGGAAAACCCCATATTTAATGGGAAAATCTATGGTTTCCGGTTTTGATTTTCCCTTAAACCAATCCATTGATTGGGGCAAAATTTCCAATTTTCCTGGTTGATCCTCAGAAAACCCCAAAGAAAACTACCAGCTCTAGGTTTTCAGAAGCCCCATTTGAAAAGAAGCCAAAAACTGGCGGGAACATTTAGAAACATAGAGAGATTTTTTCGGTTACAACTTGACACTTATACTTGGGGGTGCTGGCAGATGGGATACAGGGCCCCTACAACTCTGGTTAACTACCTATGGATACTTACATGATTATATGAGTTACATAACCATTTTTGCCACTTGTTACAGTGGTTTTGGCACCGCCGCGATCCGCCAACCGGGACCGGGCTGCTGTCAGGTAGTACGCTCTACGCCTCCAGAATGCCACATCAACACTTCGTTGGCGTCAGTGGCGCTCAGGGGACCATGGAATGAATTTTCGGGAGAATCTGCAGCAGGCACCCCCAAATGTTTGGAGCTCAAAACGTGTAAAAAACCAAGGCTTTAGCTGTAATTCTTCCTTCAAGTTTTGGACTTGGACAATTGGACAATGACCTGCTGAAGGTGACCGACCTTGATCCCAACATGTCCCAACCATATGGTGTAAGTCGCTAACAGTTATCATTGACCATTAAAATTGACACATGAGTCAACAAACACACACACATATATGTAGTTATAGAAGTAAGTAACTAACTAAACTAAAGCAAACTAAAGTAAACTAAAGTAAACTAAACTAAGCTTAACTAACTAACTAACTAACTAACTAGCTAACTAACCAACTAACCAACTAACCAACTAACCAACTAACCAACTAACTAAATAACCAACTAACTAAGTAACTAACAAACTAACAAACTAACAACTAACTAACTAGCTAGCTAGCTAGCTAACTAGCTAACTAGCTAACTAGCTAACTAGCTAACTAGCTAACTAGCTAACTAGCTAACTAGCTACCTAGCTACCTAACTACCTAACTACCAAACTACCTAACTAACTAATTATTTATCTATCTATCTATCTATCTATCTAATCTAATCTTAATCTTAATCTTAATCTTATCCTATCCTATCCTATCTATCTATCAATCAATCTATCTATCTATATACACGTGCACACAAACACACACACACACATATATATATATAGTTCCCGTGCATAAATTGCACACATCCGCCGCAGGTTGGCTGGGCGCTGCTGAACGCCGCTTTGGCCGTGGGCGATCGGCTGCTGCAGCGCTTGATGCTGGCGCAGGAGCAGCAGCCCGCAGGGCACCTCAGGTGGTGAAAGTGGCACCTTTAAGGGTCCCCAGGAAGATCTCAAAGGTTTAATGGTACTTATAACTATAGTTAATGGGATCTATAAATCAATTTATGACTATGGGTATGGATCAATACCTATTAATACCATTTTTAGGGGGATGAACATCCATAAATCCCAGCTATTTTGATGTGAACTACAGGGGTACTATTGGTTTTGACACACTGCCGTATCACTATTCAAAGTTTATCAGTTTTTCTATCTTGTTGGGAGGTTGCTGCAAGGTCCCATAAATTATCACTGGTCCATAGTTTATCGGTTTGCCGCCGAGAAAGCCTTGGCTAAGTACTGTCCGTAATCATCTTGGGATCTCATACCGGGGGCATTTAATTCCAGATGGAAACAGGCCTTTCAAAAACCATTAGACACCACCTTATTTTCAGGGGCACATCCGGGTGATTTGAAACTAGGAGGATGAGATTGTCAAGAAAGAGTGTGGGAAAGCTAAAGTCTTTGGCTCTTCAGAAATTAGACCAGATACGCTGTGTTTTCCGATTTTTCTCTGCAAAGCTGGCCTATTTTCCAGCTATGTGGCGCTTTCCGCACGAACATAGCTGGTAACACTGTGTTGTGAGTTCAGGCAGAGTAGATTTTGAGATCTCATCGGCACAACGGGCACGCAGGATAACCTTTAGGTGACGAATGAGGTCAGGATCAGGGTGATCATCATCAATGGAATTTCCCATGTATTGCAATCATCCCCAATGGATAGGACGGATAGGATAGTATAACTATATACTGTAACTATAATATCAACCCTGGATTAATAAACCCCTAGGCTGTTTAATTGGGAAGGTACCATTTAAGTATCAAATCATGACTATTGGGGGAATACCCTCCTAATTAATAAACCATGGTTTAGCAAAATCCGGGGTTGACATTATAACATTCATTTTTTACCCATTTTTACACCATATCATCAAACAGATTCATAGTAATGACAATCATCCTGACCCTCTACGGAGATGCCCAGACCGGGTGATCGTCCCAGCAGCGAAAACAGGTAGACATCTCCAAGACAGGCGTCACCTTGCTGAACAATCTCCTAGGCGCCAAGAAAAATGGGATGCCGGGGATGCCCACTTTCTGCTGACATCTACTGTAAATTTTTATTGTTTTCGGGGAACAGGTCACTGATATATACAGATACATGATATACATAATTCACATCCTCCTTTTTGGCTGGTGTCCCTCGTTCTTCCCGAGTGAGTTCTTCAAGTTTGCGGTTCAAGATTGGGATTGAATATAAATGAACCAAAGATGGGAATTAAGGGCCAAGAGCCACCAAAAGATGGGGCTTTGACTGGGAATTGTTCCAACAACAGCTTGGTATTAAATCACAAGATCGGGTTATCAACTTTATCAACCAACAAAAGATGGGGATATCCAATATCCCTGCAAAAGTGGCGAACTTATTATAAACGGAGATTTGCAAAAAAAAAGTCGGGCATCAAGTCACTTGAGTTATATACATACTTCTTTTTCGGGGTCAAGAGCCACGATACATAACTGTACAACCATCATAAGACCCCAGAAAAGCACTCCTTTTTTGACGGTAATAGATTCACAATATAAATTCACACCTTTTTTGGGTGGTCATTGGCCCTTTCTTCGGTGTTTTATCCCCCCCGCCAGGTTTGGCTCCGGTGCTTCTCTGTGCTTTCTTCACCCAGGTTCTCTTTTTGAGCTCGAGCTTGGTTTGTTGGGAGAAAGCTGATCAAATCCCATAAATGGTAAATATCACTAAACATCCATTGATTTATATAGTTGAGTGCTTATCATGTTAGGTAGATAAAAATGGATATTAAATGGATATTCTACCAGATATGGCATTTCTGGTTTTGTTTGAGGTACCCCAACATCATGGGGGACATGATGATATTGCAGTAATATTGTGAAGGGATGTCTGCTCCCTTGTTTCGATTTTCCGTGCCGAAGTCAAAAGCTCCATGCCCCGATTTCGGCCACTCAGAAGCTCACTAGGACCTAAGGACCCACGAGGAGCAATGATTCACTGCGATATTTGTATCTGCAAATTCCCGTGGATCAACTTTTGCCGCATTCTCCCACCTTGGGCCTTCACCGAGCGCATCTTGGGCCTTCACCGAGCGCCGTGCCAGGAGTGGCATGCTGTGCCGGAACTGCCTCGGGCTCGGGGGGGGACACTGCCAATACGTTCCAACCTTTTTTGTCCTAAAACCCTTGGATAGATATCAAAGCAATTCAAGGCACATGTGCATGTTGTTTCATTTCCGGCACTCCTGGAGGCCTGAAAAACATGAAATAAACCTGGTTCCATACTCTAAATCCAAGCGGGTTCAGATATGGCTATGGATCAATACCTATTAATACCATTTTTAGGGGGATGAACATCCATAAATCCCAGCTATTTTGTGAACTACAGGGGTACAAGGTTTTGACACACTGCCGTATCACTATTCAAAGTTTATCTGTTTTCCCATTAAATATGGGGTTTTCCTGTAAATTTTCCCTTAAACCAATCCATTGAGATATCAAATCTCCAACCTCAAGCCATGCTCAACTCCAAAGCTGCACCCGTTTTCCCCAGTTCCGAACTCAGGTCGGACCTCAATGGACTCAGCTGCGGCTGGATCTTGGCGAGTTGCATCGTGGGCGCCCGGAACCCCGGACGCCCGGACCTGGAGAAGTCCTTTTTTGACCTGCAAAAAATAGTGGTTTAATGGTGGTTTAATGGGATTTAACCAACAAAAATGGTGATTTTAATGGGATTTACTCTGGTAATTTGTTACATAGCTATTGAAAATGGCCATTTATAGTGAGTTTCCCCATTGAAAATGGTGATTTTCCATAGTTATGTTAGTTTACCAGAGGGGTAAAAGAACAGCAAATGATCGGGAATTATGAACATGTAGGGGGTTTATATACCTCATTTGTTGATATCTATTTGGGATGATTATTTGACTTCAAACTGTTGATGATTTGTGGCATCAACTAGTTTTTTTTTTAAGGTTTAGATGCAGCACATGTTCAGACGGGTTGAAGCCACCAAACAGTTTGGCATTGGATTTGTTAATTCTTGGGTCCCATTGTGCGTTTGATTGGGGCTTTATGTATTGGAGGGATCATTGTTGGTAGCTGATCTCCATGAAAATGCTCATTTGAGCCCAATCTAGTGTCCACTAGCAGTGCAGCTAACATTCCCCGAGGTGTTGAGGATATTTGGGGTAAACTTCAGAAATTTTGCTTGGTACCCTCTGGTAAACTAACATAACTATGGAAAATCACCATTGTTATTGGGTAAATCCACTATAAATCACCATTTTCAATAGCTATGTTAGTTTACCAGAGAGGGTATTGGTCGGTCAAAGACTGGTGGGCAAAACAGGTCAGCCGTGACGCTACCAAGGTGGGTATCAGCTACACAGGTATTTGGTGCCAAAGTCTCATTAGTTCGGGCGCCAAGATGGAGAGGGAGCTGGATTCGGACAGCACAAGTTGGGCTGATTTGAACTTCAAAATCCATAATCTGAACATATCTGAACTGGATGAACTGAGACGAATTATGGTTGTAGTTTGACAAAAGTTTCAACTGCTGTCCCCATTTGTTTTCCGATGCCCCATGAATTTGTGCTTCTCACGGGATCATGTTGGTTATCCTATGCTTTTTTGCCCCAAAAAATCCGTTTCTAATATGAGTAGTACGTGTCAAACTTATGCAGATCATCCAATATATAGGTATATCATATATGCAATAGATGTATGTATATATATATAAAACTATTTATCATGTATATATATATATATTCCCCCAAAGTATATATATATAGACATCATATATCATATATCTATCATATCTCCCTCTATATATCTCAACGCTACGCGTTAAGTTTGCCGCGTTGCCAGGTGCCACCAGTTTCCTGATCCTGATCAACGTGAACAAGTTCGCCATCATCGGCATCGAGGAGGGGCTCGTTTTATTTCTGGATTTGCTTGGAAAATCCCAGGGAAACCATGACTTTTTGTTTGGAAAATCCCAATTTTCCAGCATTTTTTGTTGACATCATAATTTGATAATCAACATACTTATCATATCTCATCATAATTTATCATAACTTGCAATTTGATATATATAT